TGTAGACAGTGGCTGCAGTAACCACATGACTGGGAAGAAGGAGCTGTTAATTGACATAAACTCAAAAGTCACAGGCAAGGTGCAAATGCCAACAGGGGAGCTTGTAAGTATAGCCGGCATGGGCACTTTGGTGCTTGACACAAACTCTGGTGCAAAGTATATCAGAGAGGTCATGTATCTGCCTGGTTTGAGAGAAAATCTCTTGAGTGTGGGCCAAATGGATGAACATGGTTATCATTTGGTATTTGGGAGCAGCATGTGCAGCATCTATGATAGTTCTTCTCTTGAGAACCTTGTTATGAAGGTGGAAATGAGAAAGAATAGATGTTATCCATTATCATTACCCTCAAATGATTTTGTTGCACTAAGAGCTGGTGTAGTCAACTCTACTTGGGTTTGGCATAAAAGAATGGGGCATTTACACTTGAAAGGCCTAAACCAACTCAAGGAAAAAGAGATGGTACATGGGCTGCCACATTTGGAAACTGTAAATGAAGTGTGTGAAGGCTGCCAATTAGGAAAACAACACAGAGAGTGGTTTCCTAAAGATCAAGCATGGAGAGCTAGTACACCTCTTGAACTTATACACATGGACTTGTGTGGACCAATGCAAAATGAATCTCTAGGAGGTAACAAATATTTCATGTTACTCATAGATGATTTTACAAGGATGATTTGGGTCTACTTCTTGAGATACAAGTCGGATGCACTAAATTGTTTTCGAAAATTCAAGTCTATGGTGGAGTTGCAAAGTGGTTACAAAGTGAAATGTGTTCGAAGTGATAGAGGGGGTGAGTTCACTTCTAGTGAATTCAATAAACTATGTGAAGATGCAGGGATTCAAAGACAATTCTCCATGGCTTACACACCCCAGCAAAATGGAGTGGTAGAGAGAAAAAATAGGACTGTGGTAGAGATGGCTAAGGCTATGTTGCATGAGAAGGAGCTGCCCTATTATCTATGGGCAGAAGCTGTCCACACAGCAGTGTACATCTTGAATAGATGTCCTACTAAGGCTCTTAGGGACAAGACTCCTTTTGAGGCCTATAGCACCAGAAAACCAGGTGTTGCTCATTTAAAAGTGTTTGGCAGTGTGTGTTTTGTGCATAAACCAGAGGAGAATAGACAGAAATTGGATGCCAAAAGCACAAGGGGAGTTTTTGTTGGATATGCAACATGTGAGAAGGGTTATAGAGTGTTTGATCCTATCACTAGAAAACTACTCTTATCAAGGGATGTTGTATTTGATGAAGGAACAAGCTGGAATTGGAAAGAAGTGTCCGACAATTCCGTGGTTATGATGAACTTTGAGGAGCAGCCTAGAAATTCTCAAGTGGATTCGTTTGAGACACCTATAGGGCCTCAAAATTCTGGTTTCACTGCTGGAAACTCAGCAGCTTCCTATGGAGAATCAAGCAAGGAAAGCAGTAGGTTGGAAGATACTCAGACCTTTGATCATACACCATTGAAATGGAGGAAGTTGGATGACATTTTGGCACAATGCAACCTGTGCACAATGGAGCCTGAGAAGTTTGAAGAAGCTGTGAAGGAGGAATCATGGTTGAAGGCAATGAAAGATGAGTTGAATATGATAGAAAAGAATAAGACATGGGAACTTGTTGACAGACCTATGGAAAAACCAGTTATTGGAGTTAAATGGGTGTTTAAAACTAAGCTAAATTTGGATGGCTCAGTGCAGAAGAATAAAGCAAGACTGGTGGCCAAGGGATACTCACAAAAACCAGGGGTGGACTACAATGAAACGTTTGCACCAGTGGCTAGATTAGACACTATTCGAACCTTGATTGCCCTTGCAGCTGAGAAGGGTTGGCAGCTGTACCAATTGGATGTCAAGTCAGCTTTTCTAAATGGTATTTTAGAGGAAGAAGTGTATGTAGACCAGCCGGAAGGATTTGTGGTAAAAGGAAGTGAAAGCAAGGTTTACAAACTACACAAAGCTCTATATGGCTTGAAACAGGCGCCAAGAGCTTGGTATAGTGAAATTGATGGTTATTTTGCTGAGTGTGGATTTACAAAGAGTCAAAGTGAAGCTACACTTTATGTCAAAGCAAGAGGTGCAGAAAATATCCTGATAGTTTCCATTTATGTAGATGATATAGTCTACACTGGAAATGATCATGAAATGCTAGAAGATTTCAAGAAGGACATGAAGGAGAAGTATGAAATGACTGATCTGGGACTCTTGCATCACTTCTTGGGAATGGGAGTCATTCAAACACCAACAAGCATATTCATTCATCAGAAGAAATATGCAACAACTCTGTTAAACAGATTTGGTTTGAGTGAGTGTAAACCGGTGTCTATTCCACTAGTTACCTCAGAGAAACTAAGTAAGGATGATGGGAGTGGTTTGGCAAGTGAAGAGCAATATAGAAGGATTGTTGGGAGTCTGTTGTATCTCACAGCTACTAGACCCGACATTATGTTTGCAGCTAGTCTGCTTGCAAGGTTTATGCATTGTCCCACTAGCAAACACCTTGGAACAGCAAAACGTGTCCTTAGATATGTAAAAGGAACCTTGGATTATGGTCTGGAGTATGTGAAAGGAAAAGGGGCAGTTCTAATTGGCTATTGTGACAGCGATTGGAGTGGCTCAGTGGATGATAGCAAGAGCACATCTGGATACGCTTTTTCTTTTGGGAGTGGAGTGTTTGCTTGGGCCTCAGTCAAGCAAAATTGTGTTGCACTCTCTACTGCAGAAGCTGAATACATCAGTGCCTCTGAAGCAACAACACAAGCTATTTGGTTGAGATTTGTCCTAGAAGACTTTGGAGAACTTCAAACAGAAGCTACACCTCTCCACTGTGACAACATTTCAGCTATTGCCATTACAAGGAATCCTGTTTTCCATCAGAAAACCAAGCATATTGATCGGAGGTATCATTTTATTAAAGATGCTTTGCAAGAAGGAACTGTGGATTTGATCTATTGCCCCACAAATGAGCAACTAGCAGACATTTTTACTAAGGCATTGGCTAAGGATCGTTTCTGCTATCTCAGAGAGAAACTTGGTGTGAAATCAGCTCACAACTTAAAGGGGAGTGTTGAAATATAAGTGGTGAGCTGATGAGAGTGTGATTAAAGTCCCTAAGCTGAAATGGTGTATTCACTTAGTCTCTAAAATAGGCAAGTGTGAGGCGTCAGTTAGTGTTAAGTGGCTATAGCCACGTGTAAAGATCTTAGAAGGCAGTTTTGGATGTAAGGCTGTGATTCTCAAGTGATGTAAGAGAATCCAGCTATTTCTCTAAACGGTCATATAGCACACACAGTGCTTGCCCGAAAGTTTCAGAGCAATATACAATACAAAAATACAGAAGTTTTGTTTTAGCTAAGCTCTCGGTTTTCTCTTGCATATTGTTTTTTCTCTTCTTCTTCAAAACCTATACAAAACTCTAACAGCAGTGGGTATTGTGGCACGTGATTCTAGTGGGAATTTTATTGCTGGGAGAGCCAAGAGATTTGATAATATTTTCTCAGCTTTACACTGAGCTTTTGACAAATGGAGGGTGTAGCTTTGGCAATGGAAAGGGGTTTTACAGATGTTTGTTTTGAAAGTGATGCGCTCCATATGCGCTTAAAAGTCCATCACTTGATTGATTCTAAATTGGTCCACTATTGAAGGACATTAAATTTATGCTTTTACAGATAAATGGAGTATGTTTCATCTATATTCATTGCACATCTAATAGAGTAGTTCGCAGAATTGCAAAATGCTCTAAACATTGGCAATTTTTGAACTTGGTTTGAAGAACGTCCTCATTTTTTTATTGATTTCCTTTTTGAGGATTGTAATATATAACTTTTTGTGACTTTGGCTTTAGGGGGACTTGGGGGTGTCCTATCAGAGGTAAGGTTCCTCTAATTGCTTTGCAGAAGAAGGGTAACTACTTGTTGTTAGCGTGACTTGTGGACTATTGACTTACTTTCCTTACACACCAAGAATTCATATTATAATTGTAATTGATTTACTTTAATTTCTGATTTCCTACTGTAAATAGAAAAATGAATTTATTATTTACTTGCACATTAAAGTTCCATTATATTATAAATATGACTTCCTACAAGGAAAATAATACACAGAAAATTTCCACAAATTTTTTTTCTCTCATAGTTCTCATATTTTAGCATGGTATTAGAGCGGCGATCTTGAGATTGCTGACTCTAGTTTCTAAACCCTAGCCGCCACCATGGGGGAGGATGACTCTCCTAATCCTCATGGCAGTAGCATCACTGCTTCCTCCTTTCCTTCTCAACCAACCATAGCCGAGTTGATTGCCTAGGTGGCTCAACTAATGAAGATGCAGACTCAGACCTTGAACCTGATCCTAACTCAGGATCCTAACCAGACGACCCAGTACTTGACTCAGACGATGACCCGGAACTCGAATCAGACTATGACCTCGAACCAGAATTAGATGACGATTTTGACAACGATTACCTATGAAGCTTCCGTTGCACAGATCCGCATAAAGTTGGATGGCACCAACTATGTCCTATGATCCCAAGTTGTCGAGATGTATATCTCCAGTAAAAACAAATTGGGATATATATTAATGGCGATCTTCCACAACCTCCTTCGACCGCTCTAACATTTCCCCATTGGCGCACCGAGAACTCCATCGTGAAGGGATGTCTCATCAATTCTCTAGAGCGGAGATTGATTGGCAATTTCATTCCCTTTCCGATGGCAAAAGTAGTGTGGGATGCAATTGCCACGACCTACTATGATGGCATTGACACTTATCAGGTTTATGATATGAAACGATGAGTCTCCTGTATGCGACAAGCTAGCATCTCCATTGAAACCTATTACAATACTCTCCAAACTTTATGGAGAGATTGATTTCCGTCGTCCAAATATGATGGAGTATGAAAGTGATTTCTAGAACTATAATGATATTCTGCAAGAAGATTGAGTTTACATATATTTGGATGGCCTTGACAATCGTCTTGATAAGGCCCGAAGTGATGTTCTTCACATGACTCCGTTCCTTACAGTGGACCAAGCTTATGCTTATGTCTGCCGTGAAGATGTTCGACAAGTTGTGATGATGGGTTCATCCACACCCATTGGTGTTGGCTTAGTGGCCAAGAGTGCTCCTCTATCAGGCCCCCCTACTCGCGCTGGATAGCCCTAGAATTCCTCTACTGTAGCCCACCTTCAGATCCAGTCATATGCTACTATTGCCGGCGTGCCACCTCCTAAAACCATCCCACCTTCCCATCTTAAGGCTCCAACTGATGGAAGTGGTTGCATGCTCTGTGGCAACCCTAAACATACCCGCGTCACCTATTTAAGTTGAATGGTTATCCTGATTGGTAGGAGGACCTCCATGCTCACAAGCCCAGAGAAACTGCTAGTAGTTTCCGGCCGTGCTACTCTTGTCTCTACCAAACCTCAATTAGCCTTGTTTCCACAGGCTACTAATAGTCCCATGCCTCCGGATGACTCAGGTAACTGCGGTTATGTATTTCATACTTCTGATCTACAAGATACTACTGGTTGGATCCGAATGATTTTTTGGACACCATTACCACCCACCGCACAAGTATTGCCAATGCAAATAGAGTTACCTATCCCGTGACAGGGGCCAACACTGTTGCCCTTTCACCTTCTCTATCTCTTTCCAATACTCTACTCATTCCATCTTTGTCCAATAAATTAATGTCTGTGAGCTAGGCAACTGAGCAACCAAATTTTTGTGCATTGATTTATCCCACTTTTTGTTTACTATAGAATATTCTCACCAAGGAGATCATTGGGCGTGGTACTAAAAGAGGGGGGGTTGTACTATGTGGATGACTTTAGTATGGGATGTGCCAATAGTGTGAAGCATCCGTTTGATGACAAGCACCAATAGATTTGGCTCTGGCACCGACGTTTGGGGCATCCATCTTTTGGTTATATGAGACACTTATTACCCGAGTTATTTTATGTATTTAAGGACTCATTCACTTGCATTTTAGCCAAGAGTCACAGAGCATCCTATCCTTTAAGTATGAATAAAAGTAATGTTTCTTTTGCTTTGATTCATTTTGATGTTTGGAGACCTTCACCTATTTCTACTCATTCCGGTATTCGTTGGTTTGTCACATTCTTAAATGATTGTACACGGATGACATGGCTTTATATGATGAAAAATAAGAATGAAGTGTTTTCCCCTGTTCCAATTCTTTTACAAACAGATGGAAACACAATTGAATGCTCGAATACAGATTCTTTGCTCTGACAACAGTGGATAATTTATTAATCATGACTTTCAGATTTACTTCTAGACACATGGAATTATTCATGAGACAACTTGCCCCCAGACACTACAACAAAATGGTTTTGCTGAATGGAAGAATCGTCATCTCCTTGAAACAACCCGTGCTTGTCTCATTGGTGACCATGTTTCTCATCATCACTAGGATGATGCTGTAGCCACTACCGTCCACCTTATCAATCGCATGCCTTCTAGGGTCTTGAATTTCAAAACTCCATTACAAGTGCTCGCGCAACATGGGCCTTTGCCCTCTGTTTTGGTGCTTACCCCTCGCATTTTGGTTGTGTGGCATTCGTTCATCTTCACAAAAATCAACGAAGGAAACTTGACCTATGTGCGCTTTGTTGTGCTTTTTTGGGTCATGCCACTCATTAGAAAGACTACCAGTGTTATCACCCTCCTACCCGGTGAATCCATGTCACTTTGAATGTCACCTTTCTGGAATCGAAGATGTTCTACCATGACCTAGCATCCAATTCTACTCTCCAAGGGGAGATATGGAGTGAAGAGCCCAATTGGAGCGGCTTGGGAAAATGAAGATATTCATCTCTGCAAGAAGATTGCTCTCGGCCACGAAACTATCGATCGCCCAACAGTGTGATCATAACAACAAGATAAAGACTCCCCATCTCACTCAACAGTATGAATGGACCAATCTCCTGAGAATATCTTTGCGGTAACTACTCCTACTAGACTTGTGTATTTAGAGGATAAATATATTGGATATCAATTACCTTTCAAGCAAAATCGTGGGAAGCTACCAAACCATTCTTCACCTTATATTGGCAAGACATCCAAGTATCCAATTGCAAATCATGTATCCACTGAGAAGCTGTCTGAACCACTTAAGGCTTTTGTGCATTAGTTGTCTACTATCCATATTCCAACCAAGGTTTCTGAAGCATTGAAATATCCTAAAGGGGTCCAAGCTATAAAAGAATAGACGAAAGCACTTACTATAAAACACAATGTAGATGGATCTATCGAGTGATATAAGGCAAGACTTATGGCAAAAGGGTATACATAGACCTATGGTATAGACTATGAAGAAGCCTTTGCACCAGTTGCAAATTTGAACACCATCAAAGTCTTATTGTCCCTTGCAGCTAATTTGGATTGGCCACTACACTGGTTTGATGTAAAGAATGCTTTTCTGCATGACAAACTTATAGAGGAGGTGTACATGGATATTCCTCTTGGATATAATACTACTCAAATTGGAACAGTATGCATAACAATATGGATTGAAACAGTCATGACGCGCATGGTTTGGATAGTTCACCATGGCAATGAAAAACAATGGTTTCAAACAAAGCAACTCAAATCATACTCTGTTATTGAAACATCATAAAGGGAAGTTAATAACGTTAATAATCTATGTTGATGATATGATTATTATTGGGAATGATAAACATGAAATATCACAACTATAAGACTATTTGGCTACTGAGTTTGAAATGAAGGATCTAGGTGGACTCAAGTATGTCTTGGGAATTGAGGTGGCTCGATCGCAGCAAGGCATATTTCTCTCTCAAAGGAAATATGTCTTGGACTTGTTGACAGACATAGGATTGCTAGCTTGCAAACCTACGAACACTCCTATTGTTCATAATCATCATCTTGGAGAATATTCGGATCAAGTTTCAACTAACAAAGAAAGATACCAAAGGTTAGTGGGAAGATTGATCTATTTGTCACATACTCGACCAAACATTGCTTTGCGGTGAGCGTTGTAAGTCAATTTATGCACTCTCCAAGTGAAGACCACATGAATGCAATTCTTCGGATACTTAGATATTTGAAGTCTGCATCTGGAAAAAGACTTATGTTCTTGAAGCATGGTCATTTGAATATTGATGGTTATTCAGATGTAGATTGGGCAGGTAGTGTAACAGATAGAAAATCCACATCAGGTTACTTCACATTCTTGGGAGGTAATTTGGTGATGTGGAGGAGCAAGAAGCAGAATGTAGTAGCTTTATATAGTGTAGAGCCCGAGTTCAGAGGCATGACTAAAGGGATTTGTGAACTTATTTGGTTAAGAAAGTTGCTTACTGAACTTGGATATAAACCAACATCCACAATGAATCACTTTTGTGACAACAAGGCTGCTATAGCTATTGCACATAATACGGTTCAACATGATCGCACTAAACAGGTTGAGGTGGATATCAACACTTCACCAAACAGAAGCTTGAGACTAAAGTGTTTCAGTTTCCTTTTGTGAAATCAGAGGATTAATTGGCAAATATTTTGACAAATGCGATTTCTAGTAAAGCATTCCACAATTCACCAGATCAGTTGAGCATTGGCGACATCTATGCACCAACGTGAGGGGGAGTGTTGGCGTGACTTGTGGACTATTGACTTACTTTCCTTACACTCCAAGAATTCCTATTATAATTGTAATTGATTTACTTTAATTCCTGATTTTATATTGTAAATAGAAATATGAATTTATTATTTACTTGCCTATTAAATTTCCGCTTTATTATAAATATGACATTCTACAAGGTGAAGAATACACAGAAAATTTCTACAAACAAATATTCTTTCATAGTTATCATATTTTAGCACTTGATGCTATTCTCTTAAAAAAATTTAAAAATTAAAAAATTAAAAAATTAAAAAATTAAAAAAATTAAAAAATTAAAAAAGATAAAAAGAAAAAGAAAGTTCTCAGACTTCACCCAAACTCTTTCCCCTAATAATACTAAAACTAATACTATGAAAGTTTGTATATATAAATTAAAACATATTTTCAATATCTTGTGTGCAAAGATTATATCAGCTTCATGTAAGTTGTTGTTGGTTCAATGTACATTCAAATTTTGGCTCCAAAGGAACACCGCTGGCTTTGATTTCTAACAGAAAATGAAGAACAAATTACATACAGGAGTACGGCGACCCAATTGTTGTCAATATGTGAGTAGGTGTTGAGGCCCAAAAAGTCATGAGAAGTCCAAGAGAATTTAAAGCCCAATATGATGTCCAAAATAAAGGGATAAATTGGTTATGTGCTACTTCCAATTATATTTTGGGATTTAATACATCAGGATAAATATATATGCATGGTTTTATGCAAATTGTAAGAGTTCCATGCCATGCCAAGTAATGACACCCATGCCAAACCTATTCATTTACATATGGTATCTTTAAGGTTGATCATAAGAGGCCCAAGCCACTGCAACACATGCCCAAGCATTCCAAGTACATGCCAAATAACTCCATGCAAGGCTAATACATTTTTCTTATGACAATCACCTACCAAGTTCACATAAACCCAAGTCATGTGGTTTAGAGCAAAGCCACTACAAGGGTTTAGCCTAGGCAGGAAGAGACCCTAGGCTAGGAATGAAGCTCCAGCGTGGAAGACCTAGCTCGAGCAAGCCCATGAGGAGATCTGGCCATTCCTATTACCTTTGGGCTGCTGACGTCAGCGCAAGATATTTAAATTTTTTTTACCAACGGTAAAAAGAATTTCAAATCTCGCGCTGACGCAATGCTAGCGTTAGCGCTGCCAGAAACCAACGGCTACAAGCCACGTGGCTTCTCTTGTAGACTATGACTCAAAAATCTCCTCCAATCCAATGGCTGCCCATTTTTTGGCTTTAAAAAAAATCGAAATTTTTTGTAAACAATATCAAAAAATTATGGACATTTTTTCTATGAATACCTACCAATATTATTCACTTCCCACACCAAATCTTCATAAAAATTCTTCTCCTTCCAATATTTTTCACTTTCTACACCAAATTTTCTACTACTAATTTCACAATGATTTTAGTGAATTAATCTGAAAAATGACTCGTCTGCTTGAAGGTGAAACTACCTCATGAGTGCATTTAGCTTTCCCAAATTTCAACTGCTACCATCCCTCATAGAACTCCAAATGGACATAGAATGCTAAATTGTTAAACATCCAACACTTTCAGCTCTACAGACAATCTAGCTTGTTCACTCTCCCGACGAAATTTCTTTGGGAGAAAACCTAATCCAGCAAACAGTTGCTAGTATAGACTTGTGGCAACGAAAAACTAGATGATGCTACCTTATTTCTGTGCCTATTGAACACAGCAAGTACTAGAAACTTGGGCAGTGGTGGTTGGGACTTGGCTCAACCCCAAAATTTCTGCTACAATATCTGGAGGCCATGGTTGAAGTACAGTAAATGAAATTTAGCGTCCATAAAATAGATCATTAAAAAAGAGTGTGCCGAGGACTAAGTCTTCTTTCTTGAAAGAGCGCAGTCTGACCTGTGCTCACAAAGAGAGACCAATCCACATGTGTTTTGGTAATGGCTTAATCTATAGACTGAAAGCCCTAAGATTGGAAACTACCAAGTTAGGTTTGGAGAGAGATGGGACAAGTTATGTAATAGGGGGATCCAAAGCCTGACTACACGGAATAAATGTAATAATCTGGGAAGTTTGACATGCCTTCATAATTTTTTTTGGCTTAAATGCTAAAATGGTCCCTGTGTTTTAGCCCGTTGGCCAATTTAGTCTATGTGTTTTTCAATTTGGCTAATTTGGTCCCTGTGTTTCGGACCATTAGCTAATGTAATCCAATCCGTTAAACTTTTGTTAAAATATTAATAAAAAATATAAATATTTGAATTCAATCTATAAAATAAATAATTATGAAATAAAAATAAGATTTAAAAGCTAAAAGCAATTAAAAACCAAAGGACAACACCATTTCAGCAACACCTTTTCTCCCCAGCAACAACTCACCCACACGCAAAAACCCCAACTCCCCAAGCCACAGCCACCCAACCCACCCCCTCTCCCCCCTCCTCTCTCTCTCTCTCTCTCAAGAACAATCCCTAACTCCTGACCATCTCCTAGTAGAATCTTCACCATGCAGTCCTCGCCCCACTCCCCCCAACCACATTGCTGAGGCAGCCCTGCACCCATCTTTTTTTTTTTTTTTTTTTTTTTTTTTTTTATATTTCTATTTTAATTAGGTATCTTTTTTTATGTAGTTTTTTTAATAATGTTTTAATATATATTTTTAAATTAATTCAATAATTAAATTAATTTTTTCAAAAAAATTTAAAAAAAAATTTTCAAAGGAAGAAGAAGAAAAAAAGAAATTGTCATGTTTATTTAACGGCAATTTTAACATAATGGGCCACATTGGCTAACAGTGCTAAATACAGGGACCAAATTAGCCAAATTAAAAACACATGGACTAAATTGGCCAACAAGATAAAACACAAGGACTATTTTAGCATTTAAGCCTTTTTTTTTGCTGGTATTTCCAATACTCCTCTCCTGCAATCGTTTTTAGAATAATTGTATACTCAAGTGTTCGCCACTGGAATACATGTGGTTTCTCCTTCTTCTCCACCTTTACTAAAAGTCGTTCCACTAAGAGAAGGAGTCTAGCATCTCCACTTTCCTTCCATTTGTGTTTGTGTAAAAATACAAATGGCCTCTTCTATTGATGTTGGGACGTTATGAAGAATTGTTCGAGATTCAAAACCATTAGATTGTATTGAAAGAGTTGCCATACGTATTAATTTGTTGTATTGTTTCTCTTTTATTGAATAATGAAAGCATTAAATAATATAGCTATTTATTAAAAACATTTCATACATCAAAACAAACCTTAATTCATTACAAACCACACACAAAACAAAGTATAATTAAAAATAAAGCATAATTAAAAACAAACCATTATTAAAAACAAAGCATAATTCCAAATAAAGCATTAAACTTGACTTTATCCATCATGATTTCCTTTCATCGACAATAAGTGCTCGATCAAGTCAACTTGACGTCTTTCGTGAACATAAAGAGATTGCATTTCCATATAACGATCAATCATACGGTTGTTATAATGACCATCCCTAATTAACAGTTCGTGCTCTAGTGGTTGTCCATTTGCTCCCACGGGCCGTTCATAAATTCTTGTCAATGATGTGTTCATGGGATCAGGTTCGAACATCTCTGGGGCATCATAATCATACTCATTCTCCACAATCATGTTATGGAGGATGATGCAAATCATCATAATGCTCCGAAGCACACTTCATCAAACATACGAGCAGCACCCCTAAAAATTGCCCAATGAGCTTGCAAGATACCAAAACACATTTCGACATCTTTCTTATAACCCTCTTGAAAGGCAACAAAGCTTTTTTCCTTCTCCAATTGGGGATTCAGAATAGTTTTGACGAATGTCGTCCACCTTGGATAAATTTCGTCAGCTAGGTAGTACCCACTTGAGTATACGGTATTGTTAATTTGATACGTGATCTAGGGGGAATGACCTCTCAACACATCATTGAATACCGAGGATTGACCAAGCACGTTGAGGTCGTTTTGATATCCCACAACTCTGAAAAAGGCATGCCATACCCAAGTATTGAATGATGCAACGGCCTTCAGAATGATACTTTTTAAGCCATTCATATTCTCATAATCTCCTTGCCAAGCAATTGGGAAATTCTTCCACTGCTAGTTTATGCAGTCGATGCTTCCAATCATACCTGGGAAACCTCGAGCCTCGACTTTTTGTAGAAGCCTTTGGAGGTCCCTAGGCGTAGGTTTGTGGAGGTAATCCCTCGTATAGAGAGTTTCTATTGCATTACAGAATCTAACCAAGCACTCTTGGATAGTTGATTTTCCCGTACTAGCAATCTCATCCACCTAGTCTACAGATGCCCCATATGCAAGTATCCACAAAGAAGCTGTAAGTTTTTGCTTCGGAAGAAAACCTAAAACCTGAACGAAGTATGTGTCGTAATTGCAAACATCATGCATGATTTGTTTTTTTTGGACAAATGGGGTTGTATTCTATATCTCCCTCGAAAATAAGAAATAGGATACAACAAATTTGTTATAAAGTAATCATCCAAGAGATTCTTACTCCGAGAGTGTCTATGTCTATCCACGTTTAGGACACGACCATGGTGGTGTTGCCTTGATTGATTGAGCATACCCACCGCTAAAACAACTTCATCCTCTTCTTCATCCAACTCACGATCTTCTTCAGCACGTCTGTGCTTGATTTCTTCTTCTTCTTGCTCTTGCCTCTCCAACACCCTTCTCAGGTTAGACATTGAGAGTAGAATGTGTTTTGTAAAATCTGAGAAGTGAAAGGATAGAGAGGATATGGTGTGAGAATTCTGAGTTGAGGGTGTAGTTTTATAGAGGGATTTAGAAGATAGAGATGACACGTGGCACAATTTTAGAGGGTGAAAATCTTATTTGAAATATGAGATTAGAATTTTATAATAAATATCGACACGTGACAACCAAGAATCTTATCCAAAAGTCTTATCTGAAATTTGAGATCTGAATGTTATAATAAATATGGACACGTGACAACCGAAAATCTTATCAGAAAATTTTATCTGAAATTTGAGATGAGAATTTTATAATAAATAGTGACATGCGACAACCCAAAATCTTACTAAAAAATCTTATCAAAATTAATCTTTTAAGTATAAAAAAAATAAAAATATATATTAAAGTGAATAGTAACCCTTGCCCATAGGGGTGGAAACTAAATTGCAAGGGTTGCTACTATTCATGTGAATAGTGACAGCCCTTGCCTTGCCCTTACCCATAGGGGTGGAAGTGCTCTTACAGGGCTTGCACGAGGGGCTGTGGTATGGAAGGTTATAGAGGTCCACAAGGCCCACAGAAGGAGACTTTGGGCTATCTACTTGGGAGCACCAAAGTCCAAGCCCATTACTTATAGTTCTCCAATGTGGGTGAGCAAATGAAATATTCTTCAAGCACTCCCTATTTCCTGTTGGAAACAAGCCAATTTCGACACTTCCTTTTACTTATTAGAAATAGTCATTTTTCTATGCCTATCTTTACTTGCTGGAAATAATAGTGTCCCAATGCTACCTTTTACCCGTTGGAAATAGAATGGTTCCAACACTTCCTTTTAGCTATTAGAAACCAAAGAGAGCCTTCATCTTCTATAAATTGGTAGGCATTGCCCAGGTAAAAACCAACTTCTTTGGGTTGTTGTATGCCTCTCAGCAACCATGAGAACCCACTTCTCTGAGTGGCTGCAAGCACCCCAACCACCATCAGAGCACCTTCCTTTGACTGCTGCAAGCATTCCAGTAGCCATCAACCTCTATCCTTTGGCTGCTGCAAGCATCCCATCGACCATCAACCCATTCTCTTAGCTGTTGCATGCTCCCAGCAGCCATCACAACCATGCCTTCTACTTTCTCATCCTTGAAATCCATCATCTTCTCTATAGAGCCTCACCAAACATAACTTCAAGCCTTTCGTTCCTCCTCATACTCTGCCAAGCTACAAACACCATAGCTTTCAACCTTTAAGCTTTTCCTTCTCCATAGCCAAAGCTTCAAACAACAAGTTCTCAACACCCAAACTCAACTATATCCAACACCAAGCCAAGCACATGCATTAATTCTCATTTGCTAAACTTATGGGTCTTTAGCTCTTACACTCCAAGCTCTCATACCGTGCTCATATAATCTTAGTTCAACATCAGCAAATCATCTTCATCCATTTTTTGAGATGCCAAAAATGTCAACACAAAACTCGCAGCCACTGGAAGAACAACAGAGTACTCCCTTTAGGACTTGCTTCTCATTTCGGATGCTTTGGGCCTAGTTCTCACTAATTCAAAAAAAAAGGGGCAATGAAGGCTTGATTCACCGCTCTATGGCGGTCCAATAATCAACAAGTCCGAACAAGCCTTCGGGCGGAAAAAGACCCCAACTCAAGCATGGACTCAGAATTCAAAAATGACTAGGGCTAATTTTTCCAATCAGATAGTTTATATTTAAATTTTGACAAAGTCTATTTGTTTCTATGAAATTTTTTAAATTGTCTATAGCTTGTTAATTTAGAAACAATCTTATAAATAAATCACAAGAAAAAGAAGAGTAGAAGGCTAGATTAATAGGAGATGTAAATGAGGAGAGATGGATGGCTACTGTTTGAAAAGATAAATAAATACAGGGTTGGGCTTGGGAATGAAAAGTGTAAAACTTAGTTGGATTTGGGCTTGGTGTTAAGCTGTAATCATATATTAATAAATAATATTTAAATGGAAATCAGTTTGGTTCAGTTCTAATCGGTTCAATCAAAATAAAATTAGAATTAGAATCGGACCAAATCGGTCTTGTTTGATTTTTTGAACCTAAGTTGACTTTTTAGTCAACATGGTTTTTTTCAAGTTGTTTTTGGCCCAATTTGGTTCGGTTATTGGTTTGGTAGTTCCAATGCCCACCCTAAGTAGAATAAGAAGAAAAAGAAAAAAAGAAGAAGAAGAAAATCAGTGATATAAAGCCCCAAATACCCAACTGAAACCTTTAACGTTTAATAAAAAATAAAAAAAAAGTAGAAAAAGGTGGGAACGCTACCTATATTTCCCATTTCACTTCTTTAATTTGTTGGAAATGCAGAGAAAAGATTTGTTTTGGTATGTAGAGATGGCTTAGCATGGATAGATTGAAGATATGGAAATTTAGGGGGTGTTTGGTATACTGTTCAAATGGGGAACTCAAAAACTTTGATTTTTCTTAAAAACAAAGATTCAAAAATTTGTTTGGTATGCAACTTGAAAACTGTTTTCAAATTTAAAATTTGGGAACTTGTGGGTTGTTAGAAAAAGAACTGAAAAATAGATATTTTTTGTTTTTAATAATTGGAGTGTTTTTTAGTTGTTCTTGAATTTGAGTTTTTAAAATAGGGCTACCAAATAGGTTTTCTTTGTTTTGGACTCAAATTCTGTTTTTGAGTTTGAAAAGTTGAATTCAAGTTGAATACCAAACAGGCCCTTAAACTCAGACAAATAATAATAATAATAAAAAGGGGTGGGAAGATTTTTGCTAGGGCAGAGGTGTAAAATTTAACTTTGGTTGGCGGAAATATAAAATAAAAGGGAACCACGTGCTGAGGAAACTTAGCAGTTGAGTCTAGTTTGGGAGGAAACTAGCATGTGATGGACAATTGTTAGGATTTTTTGGTTTCAATAATCCCTAATGTTTAGGTACTTGGTTGTTGGGTTGATCTATTTCTTTGGGGAATCTTACTAGTCTAGGAATTGTTAAACATAGGATTGTGTTTGCTTACTTTTCTGTTAGTTTGTTTCTTGTAAGCTTTATTTAAACAGACCTTTTGAGTCTTTAACAATGTGTGCAATTTTCACAAACTTTCTTGTTCCCAGATAGCTTTATAGAGTCCAGTTCCCAACAGTTGTTATCAAAGCCCCCCCCCCACTGGGGCTTGGTGAAGAAAGAAGCATCAGCCTTCTTATTTGCAACGGCAATAGTCAATGGTTTCCGACGACAATTATGTGCAGCCTGCAATTCCTCGCTTTGACGGTCACTACGACCATTGGAGTATAATGAGGGAAAATTTATTGAGATCCAAGAAGTATTGGAGTCTCATTGAAAATGGCATAGCAGAATCACCAAAAAGGACAATTTTGACAGAAGCACAATGGAAGACACTTGAGGATCAAAAACTGAAGGATCTCAAGGCAAAGAATTATATGTTCTAGGCAATTGATCAGGCAATCATGGAGACTATTTTGGAAAAAGACACCTCAAAGCATATTTGGGATTCCATGAAGAAAAAGTTTCAAGGCACAACAAGATGAAACTTGAGCAACTTCAAGCTCTTCGCAAAGAGTTTGAGACTCTTCATATGAAGGTAGGAGAATCAATCACATATTATTTCTCGAGGACATTAGCAGTAGCAAATGCGTATCCATGGTGAGAAAATGGGAGATGTCACAATAGTCAAAAAAATTCTCCGCTTAATGACTACAAAATTTGACTATATGGTCTGCTCCATTGAGGAATCACATGATATTGATGAGTTGTCCATTGATGAACTACAAAGTCCCCTCCTAGTACATGAGTAGAGGATGTCAAGCCATATTTTGGTGGAACAAGCCTTGAAGGTCACCACTTATGAAAAACCATCCACATGAAGATGATCTAGAAGAAGTTGTGGTGGAGGTCGATCAAGAGGACGAGGCAAAGGAAGTGGTTGAGATAGTCAGTCTTCATACAACTTTGACAAGACCAACATCGAATGTTACCATTGCCACAAGTTTGGTCATTTCCAATATGAATGCCCAGAGAAAGAGAAACAAGAGCATGTGAATTTGCAAAGACAAAGGAATAGATTCTTTTGATGGCACACATCGACAACAAGGAGCCTAATCTAGATACATGGTACCTTGACTCTCGTTGCAGTAATCACATGAGTGGTAAAAAAATCCCTATTGTACGACTTAGATGAAATGTTTATAGAAAATGTGAAACTTGGAAATAACGTTAGCATCTCTGTCATGGGAAAGAAGAAGATTAAGATTCATATGAACAATAGTGTGCATATAAGCTCGAGTGTGGTTTTATGCCCCATAACACTACTACATTTTAGGCTTTCCGTGACGAAGGCAATTTCTTCACGCAAAGTTAACTTTAGTCACACATAATTCTGCGCGACAGAAGTTTCGTTGCACAAAAATCGTGAAGAAAGACTTTGTTCGACCAATTTATTTCCTTGGTCGCGCAAAAAAGTGCGACGTAGCACCTTCGTTACAGAAAACGTTTCCGGACGACACAAATGTCCGACGCACAAACGTTTTGCGCGACGAAAGGGTATTCGTCACACCAAGACTACGCGACGGACAGTTTCGTCGCGCAAGATTCGTGTCCCAGACATTGTCGCGACGAAAAGTCCTTCGTCGTGCAATTACTATTTGCGTGACGAAAGTCGTCGTCGCGCATACACATTTCGCGTGACGAAAGACTTCGTCACGTATGATTAAATTAAGTGTATTTAAAAATTATGTTTTAACGTTTTTTAAAAAAGTGATTTTGCGCGACAAGATATATTTCGTCGCACAAAATTAATATATATTATATAAATTTTAATTTTGTAAAAAATAAATTTTTTTTTTAAAAAAATTAAAATGAAATTGCAATAAAAGATTAATCGTAAAGAAAACATTTATTATATAAAGAGATATGACAATAAAAAAAAAGAGATATGACAATAATGTTAAATAAATAACAAATTTAACTATAAAATACCCAATTAAAAAAATTTAAAAAAGAACTACAGTTGAAGGATATATATACCTGGCTGTGGCCCCGAGGTACCAGTACCGTCGGTCGATGTGGTGTCGGTGGTGCTGGCGGGCCGGTGCCGCCGCCTAGCGTTAACAGGCTGCACCATCGATGAAACTGATGATGCAAGTGCCTGGGATCCCCCGGGACCAACTAGCACATGGTCCTGGTCCATCAATGCTAGAGCAGTGGTAGCTGATGCAGGCTAAGCTGGGGGCTCCGAACTCGGTGTAGTCGTCACCACCTTAAGATGTCTAATCAAGTCTAACATCTGCACAATTTCATTAATACACATACAAATTAATCAAATTTAAGAATATATACTTAAGCACATACAATGTCATTATGAATTTGAGCTAATTAATTAAAAGTGTAGTATCACCTAGGGTTTGCAATTTCGGAGTATCCGGGACTCCAATCCACGATCCGTCAAATCCTACACGATCTGTTAAATACGAGGTACAACATACGTGAGTTTGAGTTCGATCCAACGGTCTGAACATATCAAACCCGGAAATCGCACAATAGGCAAAATCCATTCGAGACTGAAACGGTAACCAAATTCCAATCCGAACACACCTACGCGCTCGTGACAACTAAGGGATTGCATTGGGACCCCATGCCCAATGCTATAGTATCCCACGCGCCATCACACACGCCGGCACCGCGTGGGTGCCTAGAGGGATAACAATCGCCGGAAAATCCTAAAAATTGAGGGCCAAGGTTCCTACCCTAGGTTCAAAACATCAATTGGAGGCACTTTTGTTCTTGGACCTACCTCGAAAATGGCCGGAAGTGGCCGGAATTTCAATTCAACAACCGGCCGAAACCTAGGGTTTCAAATCCACTGCCCTATTCAAACAATCAATCAAATCCTACCCAACCATCAGCTAAAGCATAAAAAATAGTCCAAAAACCATACCTCAATCGTCAGATTTGGTGCCCGGAGGAGAGAGAACAACGCCGGCGAAGATTCGGTGAAAACCGAGCAAATAATGGCGGCAGGATGGACGGCGACAACGGGAAGCTTCGAGGAGTAGTGGCTAAGGTGATGGCGGAGAGAGAGAGAGAGAGAGAGAGTTAGGGCAGATTTGAAAAACTGGGGAAGAAGGAGAAGCTCGCGGCGTTTCTGAAAACTTATTCGACTTTGCGCAACGAAGGAGTAAATGCATCATGCCAAATCATTTAAATGAATTTTGCGCGACGAAATTAAACACATTTTAGTCACGCAATGTTGCCACTCTGCCAAAATTTGGAATTAGGGTTTAGGATTTGCACATTTTGCGCGACGAAAAAAGTCTTGTTTCGTCGCGCAAGGTTGTCCATCCGCCCAAATTTTAGGATTCGAGTTTGCGAAGGGAGATAAATTAAATGATCTTCCACGACGAAAGGTACATCCATTCGTCGAGCAAGCTCTGATTTGCCAAAAAAATTTACTAAGTGTAAGGGCGGAGGGGCTGAAATTCTGACTGAGATTGAGCGACGAAAGGCCAGTCCATTTGTTGCGCAAGCCTTTGGTGTGTAAACTTTGCGCAACTCTCTGATTTGCCAAAAAATTTACTAAGTGTTTTGGGGGGGGACTGAAATTCTGAGTGAGATTGCACGACGAAAGGCAAGTCTGTTCGTCGCGCAAGTCTATAATTTGTCAAAAAAATTTACTAAGTGTTGGGGTGGGGAGGGATTGAAATTCTGATTGAGATTGCACGACGAAAGGCAAGTCTTTTCGTCGCGCAAGCCTTTGGTCTGTATACTTTGCGCGATGAACGGTGAGTACATTCGTCACGCAAGTCTGTAATTGCCAAAAAAAATTAACTAAGTGTTTTGGGGGGGTGGGGGGGGGGGGGGGGGGAGGGGGGACCTTTTTTGTTTGAGATTGCGGAGACGAGATTGCGCGGACGAATTGAATTGTCGTCGCGCACGCGCTTTATTCTGTGCATTTTGCGCGACGAATGAAACGTCCTTTCATCGCGCAAACCCTTTCCCTATACCCTAACCCTAAAACCTAAACCCTAAACCCTTACTCCTAAACTAGTTTCAATGATCCAACCGGCAAACTTTTTTTTTTTATACTTCGAGATCGTATACGTCGAAAATCGGATAAAATGAACATTCAAAGATCAAGTAACGGACAAAAACTTTTCGATTGTTATAAATGAAAGTCATGATTTAACTGTTATTTTGACTCCGATTTTGATGATTTTTTACAGCTACACTCCTTGACCCTATATGATACAATGAACTAATTCGATCGTTAATTTTAAATATATGCATGTGTATATATCAAAATATATATCATGGCGCGACGGATTTTTTTGTCGAGCAAAATTTTAAGTTTATGCGACGAGTAACTTCTCAGTCGCGCAAAATATGCGCAACAATGCCTTCTTCGTCACGCAAGGATTTGGCGCCATGTCAGATTGTTTATGATTTTCATTTTTTAAAAGTGTTTTGTCAAAATAATTTTAAAAATTATTATTAAAATGATTTGGATATATTATTTACCAATGGTTTATAACTAAATTTATTTTAATAATGTTTCATTTCTGCACATATATAATGTTTGGATATAACAAGTACATATATGAAAACATTTGCATTACACAAAATATGTCCACTAACATAATAAAATTACAAAAAAATTCATCATTCATCATCTGAACTATAATAACTTTCGTTATCGTCGCTATCATCACTTTCGGTCTCCCAATCCTCTTCCTCCTCCTCCTCCTCCGCCTCCTCTATAACTACATCATCGTCGTTGCTCGGGCCAACTGCAACATCATATCGCGGAAGATCACCGAGGTCAATTGTAATTGACTGAATCGGTATTTCGATTGAAGACACTCCTTGTATTTGAAATGGCTCTTGTATAACATTAGTATCTCGAAGTGTTTCCGCATCATTTTCCATTGAAGATTCTAAACGTTGGTCAGCCACATTGTCGACGTCGTTGTCAGTTGGGTCTAGTTCTGGTATAGCATACACGTTCCTGTGATCCATCTTTTGAACAACGTTCCAACCGCTTCCGGCTTTAGGGTCATCTAGATACACAATTTGTGTTGCCATGTTTGCCAAAATATAAGGGTCGTCATCATACCAAGTTCTGTTCATGTTCACAGATAGTAAGCCATGATCGATTTTAACACTTCCCGGCCTATTTGGGTTGGTGTCAAACCATCGACACTTAAACATGATCACTTGGTATCGATCTTTGTAAAGCAATTGCACGACAGTTGTGAGTTTGCCATAGAAATCAATGTCCGTACTTTCGCCTCCACCTGGGACATGGACACCGCTGTTTTGCGTACACAACTTGTCATCTCGTGCTTCGCCCCAAAAATTTGACACCGTTGACATTACAACCCGAGAACAATTCAGCGCGAATCGGGCCGAACGCCAAGTTATATAACTCATCACTGTAAGTTGGGGGAATTCGATGATTTCAACTTATTCACCTAATATTATACAAAACCATTCATATGTTAGTCTGACAAAATTAAAAACACAATTTATATTTCTCAAATAACAAACACTTATAACTTACAGAATCCAAAAACCATTGTGGAAACAATTCACGGTGTTTCTGGGCAACCAAATGTGATGGATGTTCTCGCTTCATCATCTCTTCATGCTCATATAAGTATCCCATGATCTCATCACAATTGTTCAGTACGAACCAATGCGCTACCTCCATGTCATTTCTAGAAAACGACTCTCCTCGTCCAGGATCTCCAAAGGGTCGTGCGCTTTGGGCAAAAACAGAAAGTTTTTCATTTCTCATACCTCCATCATGATTGCGCTGAGGACGATTGAAAACCGTCTCCACATCTTTTAAATACATTCCGCAGAAAGTAAGCGACTCATATTGAACCCAAGCCTCTACATTGATCCTTCGGGCTTCGCCCTGTTGCGTACACTTTTTTTCAGCTCTCCGAGAAGCCTGCCAAAATAAAACGATATGATACAAATTAGCAAGCATGTGATAATGATGCATACACAAACGATAAGGATTATATACCTTTCTATTGGATACATCCAGCGATAGTTGACAGGACCAGCAAGCAATGCCTCTTCTGGCAAGTGAACCATCACGTGCATCATACTTGTGAAGAAAGCTGGAGGAAATATCATCTCAAACTTGCATAGGACTTGGACAATGTCATGGCGCAACTGAAACATGTCCGTTTTTCGCAAAGTTTTTGCCGTCAGTTGGGAAAAAAATCTGGACAACAAAATGATTGGCTTCACTACATCTTCCGGCAATAGGTGTCGAATACCCACAGGAAGTAGGCGTTGCATAAACACATGGCAGTCATGGCTCTTAAGTCCAGTAAATTTACCCCCGTCAACATTCACACAACGTGCGATATTAGAAGCATACCCATCGGAAACTTTACAGACGATACAAACTTTAGAAACTCTTTCTTGTCATTCGGTTTCATAGAAAAGAATGCAAGATCCCTTCTAGCTTTATCATTGTCCCTATTCATCCATAAACCCCTTCGTATGCCCATTCTTTCCAAATCAAGACGAGCTTTGATCGTGTCCTTTGTCTTGCCCTCGATATCTAGAATCGTGCCCACCAATGTGTCGAATACATTTTTCTCAACATGCATCACATCTAGATTGTGCCTCAATTTGAGTTTCGACCAATATGGGAGCTCAAAAAACATAGGCTTGTGCGTCCAGTTCATATGTGTAGAAGGTCTGATACGACTAACTGTTTTCCCGAAGGGAGCAAAATCCAACCGGTTAAGCTGGTCCAATATCTCATCACCGGACCATTCTCTAGGGTCTGAGGCGACGCTCTGTGTTCCCGTCGAACTCTTTATCTTTTTCCCTCCACTCGTGGTCCCATGGCAACCATCTCCGATGACCAAGGTAACAAAACTTTTCCAGCATGCCAACCAGAAGTTACATCTTCCTTGCATACAGGACATGCCATATAACCCTTTGTGCTCCACCCAGAAACCATTGCATATGCTGGGAAATCATTCACAGTCCACATAACTGCTGCCCGCAAAGTGAACATCTTCCCAGTTGATTTATCGTACGTGCGAACACCGTTTGTCCATAAATCCTTCAGCTCATCAACCAGCGGCCTTAAGTAAACATCGATTGACCTCCCAGGATCCTCAGTTATCAAAACAGTCATCATCATGTATTCTTTTTTCATGCATTTCCAAGGCGGCAAATTATATGGGAATACGAAAATCGGCCAAGTGCTGTGGTGTTGGTTTAGAACCCCATACGGATTGAATCCGTCAGTGGCAAGTCCCAATCTAACATTTCGGGGATCAGCAGCAAACTCGGGGAACGTTCGATCGAACTCTTTCCATGCCTCCCCATCTGCAGGATGCCGCATCACATCATCGTCTACCCGTTTTTCCTTATGCCATCTCATGTCTGTGGCAGTATGCGTCGACATATACAATCGCTGCAACCTAGGTTTCAGGGGCAAATAACGCATGACTTTTTGTGGGATCTTAGTCGTCCTATTCTGAGATGTCATCTTGAACCTCGACTCATTGCATATAGGACATGTATCCAACGATTCATGCTCTTTGTAGAATAACATGCAATTGTTTTGCAAGCATGAATTTTTTCATAACCCAATCCAAGACCATTCAACACCTTCTGCGCTTTTTTTTTTTTTTTTTTTTTTTTTTTTTTTTTTTTTTTTTTTTTTTTTTTTTTTTTTTTTTTTTTTTTTTTTTTTTTTTTTTTTTTTTTTTTTTTTTTTTTTTTTTTTTTTTTTTTTTTTTTTTTTTTTTTTTTTTTTTTTTTTTTTTTTTTTTTTTTTTTTTTTTTTTTTTTTTTTTTTTTTTTTTTTTTTTTTTTTTTTTTTTTTTTTTTTTTTTTTTTTTTTTTTTTTTTTTTTTTTTTTTTTTTTTTTTTTTTTTTTTTTTTTTTTTTTTTTTTTTTTTTTTTTTTTTTTTTTTTTTTTTTTTTTTTTTTTTTTTTTTTTTTTTTTTTTTTTTTTTTTTTTTTTTTTTTTTTTTTTTTTTTTTTTTTTTTTTTTTTTTTTTTTAATATATTTTATATGGATCCCAGTATATTATTTGAGTGGGGTCTAAGTCCCCTTCTTCCTTTTCTTTTGGAAAGAAGAGCCTTTTTTCTCTCCAGTGCAAGGAATCCTCTTCTATTTATAGGGGGCATAGTTGATGTATTAATATTTACAAGTTGGTTACCTCTCTCGGAGCGAGCCATATACGTCCCATCAGTTTCTGCTAGCGAGGGTTTAGGTGGCCGTGAGTGTCCGTTCATGATGGCCTGCGTGCTCTATCCTGCCACAGAGAGGGGCTGGTGCTGTGGACAGAGAGGGTCTCTAGTCTCTACGTATGGCGGCGGTCATATCTTGATGGGATGGGGGTGTCTTGTCACGGACGGCATGGTGTGACTCCGTTTATCGCGGATCTTGGTAGGGCGGTGTTTTCTAGGAGCTGAGGCCGAACTGTATTCTTTTCTAGCTTCATTATTTTTGGCAGCTCGGCTCGGTAATTGCCGAGTGTCAACATATTTGAAATAACTACATGTAGTACATTTGAAATGAATACATGCCATTTGAAATCCATTGTTTTCTTCCTTTCTTTCTTATCCCAATCTTGGCATGCATGGATTGTATAGTCTATACAAACAATTTTACCAAATAAGCCATAGATTTGGAATCCGTACATCCAATGGAGCCAAAAGTTTTAAACCCTCTTTTGTTTCATATGATTTACTTTATGAGCCGTAGTAGTTGGGTGTAATATTTTTTATTATTTCTCAACAAAGGAATGGGGATCCAAACTTGGGACATTTTTTAAAATTCGGAAGAAAAATATTACTAGACCAAAAGCTAGTCGGTTAATTATTTCTGAAATTGATGCCCATCTAAAATGAATGCAGGTGCCCTTGTTTGCTGAGACAGAGATTGTGGTACCAGACGGATTGGAGTACATGTATAGACGGCCATCTCACATAATTAAGGCTTTGAATGAATAATAGTATATGATGCCCATTGTCTTCAAAACCTTACACAAATTTGCCTCTTATGCTGTGAAGAAGAATTTATGAACTCTTTTTAGTCCAATATTGATACGAAAATCAACACTGTAAATTCCTTTTGGAAACATCAAAGCTCACATATGTATTACCTATGCCCTTTAAATACTTGGAGGCAAGAATTTAACAAAAATATTAAATGTATTGAATTGGAAAATAATAAAATAAATTCTTTCAACTTCCCCACTCAGAAATAGTGACTATACAAAATCAAATCAAAACAATTGTAAATACAAAATCCCCCCTCCTGTGTATGGACGATATATTGTGGCACTAGTTCTCAAGGTCAATTATTCTTCAAACAGTATCTGAAGCCAAAGCATGAAAACACAAGTTTCCACCCCTTCTAATTTCTGATTCTAGAAAATCCTCCAATCTCATTGTGATGTCAATACCATGAGGATGATAGCATGCTCAAAGGAGTTGGATTAGTCGAAGAACATGGAGTGCTTGGTTTAAATCTCATTGATGACTTCTATGAATCGGGTGGTGGTGATTTAAAAGCTAGAGGTCATTTAGCTGCCTTGGTTGTACTTCTTAAAATAGTACACCAAAAATCCCGTTTGGGATTGTTTATTTTGGCCAAAAACCTGCTAAACTGTAAAGTTAAGCAGTTTAAGGTGTTGGTAAAATAAAATATCCTGCTTATTTTAAAAGCAATGTCTTTTGACAGCAGCTTTTAATTGAAGCAGCGCGCTCCCTTTAATGAAATTTTCGCAATTCCACAAATACCCTTATTAGGTTAGAAATTTATCCTCACGTATTTCTCACAAATCTGTAGACACCAAGTTCATCACGTAGCTCCCAAGTTTGGAGACTATCCTCTCAATCTCTTTCACAAGGTAGATTATCAATCTCTTCAAAGTTATTGATTATAATTTTCTGGGATATTTTTATTCTTCAATCTCTTCAATCTCTCAAACTTTTTGTAGACATGCTGTTTCTGTGTTTTTTTTTTTCTACTGGAGTTTCTGTAGAACTAGCTGCTGCATCGCCAGAGCGCCTTTCTATGGCAGCTCCTGGAGTTGTTGTTGGAGGGTGCCTTTTGTCTTCCCTATGCATCACATGTTCTCTGTTTCTTTATGTGTGCTCCTGCCTTACATCTGTTTTTCTCCATTAAAATTTGAAACTTAAAATTCAATTCCAAAGTCTCCCTCGTAATCTAACCATATGATCGTGCCAATTAGATTGTCTATTATGTTTGTTTGTTTTCTTGTATTGTTTTGGGGGAAGAGATAGAAGGCCTTCATGCACTTCGTTCAGGAGCATGAAGTCCTGATGTTCGTTGACAATAACTTTGGGTATAAATTTATGTATGTTCACAAAAGATTCTTAGCTTAAAAAAGAGTGATATCAGTTGGATAATAGGGCTATATATTTTGCTCATATATATTTCAATTGAAGGTACGTACTTCTAGTTTTTTTTTTTATGTACCCATGCCCACTTTCCTGCTTGATAATCAGTTTGGTCTCACTACCCTTGCTACACTATCAACAGCTTCAGACTTTCCACTCAATATTCATCATCACCACTCAATATATTTATTTCTAAAGAGCTTGATGAAATAAAATAAATAAAAGTTGCTCTTTATTTTTATTTTCCATAGTGAATATATATTTTTTCTTTGACTTAAATTTTCTTGTTTTCTTGACGCCTTGGTGTTTGCTTTTGATGTTGTAGTTTTGCCCCATTTTCCTATATGTAATTACTTAGGCCTACGCCATATTTTTAGTAAAATTTTATTTGCTATAACATGTTCATCTCCATACATATATATTTATATAAGGATGCATGCACAGATGGTGAAGAATAATAAGAGGCTAGTGGATCACGAGTTCCGGCTGGTATTGAATAATCAGAATACAACTATATTTTGTGACCTGTGTATCAGGAGGTGGAGGTAGGCAATTGTCCTGGTACTCACTTTAAGAAAGAGTGGGAAAATGTGAGGATTAGCTTGAGTAAAGAGACATGAGCCGAGTATGATAAATCACAATTGTTGAAAATAAGTAGGATGCACTTAAAGAACCATGGAAAATATGGAAAGACTCATCGGAAAGGAAACTGGTCTTGGGTGGAATTCCAAATTGGGACTATTGATGCTTCTGATGAGGGTGGATAACAACTGAGGGTATGTTATTAATATTGTTAATGTTGTTTGTTTATTAATAATTCAATGCAACATCTGTAATAGTTTTTAATGTTGTTCTCTTTGATTTGCGATAAAATCCCAATATACAAAATTACGTAGAAAGGTATTAGTTCTGATATGGAAGAGAAGTTTGATAGAATGTTCATGAACACCACTACCACGGTGACCATGCTTGGGCACCTTCACTGGTGTACTTCCAACTCATGATTCATCCGAATGTGATGGTATGTCTACTCGACAGTGGTGATGATTCTGATGATCCCGTATACGTACCAGATGAAACAATTCAAGTTACTGAAAAATTTTGTGGGAAGGGAAAAAGAGAACAAATCAACAACTTGATACACAGGTTAAGGAAGAGAAGAATGGAATAGAGTTGCTACAAAGTGGGGAAGGTAGGAGGTGCTATTAAATTGTCACAACAAATTGAGCGGATGGTTGATGTAATGGAGAATAGGAGTACAAATTCAATGATGATGAAAGGGTCCCAGGTAGCAGCATTGCTGAAGTGATGAAAGCAGTTCATCTTTACCTGGTGCAGGGCCGGGAAGCCATTTGTGGTTGTTTGCAACTCGGTTATTTCTAAATCAAGAGAAAAGAGAAATGTTCACAACTAGGGAAGATCCTAACATTTATCGTTTGTTTTACGACAAAGCAATATTATTGAAATCTTTCTCTTATTGTTTGCAGGATTGCATTGGTGCTATAGATGGCGTACATTTTAAAGCCTCAACCTCCTGAAGATCAAGTACCATATATTGGCAGAAAAGGAATACCGACTCAAAACATAATGGCTGCATGTAATTTTGACATGCAATTCATATTTGCATGTGCAGGTTGGGAAGGCACTGCACACGATACAAGAGTATTTTTATCAGCGTTACGAAATAATGCTTTAAATTTTCCCAAACCTCCAAATGGTAATATTTCAAATATGTGCATATCATTAAACTTCGAATTTTTGCACGCTCAAATTATATTATAATTAAACATATCTTATTGGTTACAGGAAAATATTATCTTGTGGATGCGGGTACCCACAAATGAGCGGTATTTGGGACCAAATAAAGGTGAAGGTATCATCTTCCAGATTCCGTCTGGGTACTCAACCAACAGGTTCTAGAGAAGTATTTAATCATGTACACTCTCCCTTAGGAGTGTCATTGAACGCACTTTTGGTGTATGGAAGAAAAAGTGGAGTATTTTACGAGACATGCCTAACTATCCATTCGTAAGCAAGTGAAGATAGCAATTGCAACTATGGAACTTCACAACTATGTAAGGAGGCACGCCCAACGTGATATTCATTTTTGACAAAGTGAATGAGACCCCAATGCAATGGAGATGGAAGGTGATACACAAGAAATATATCATATTACTCAAGGGCCGGGAGCACAAGAACTAGAAACATTAAGGAACAAGATTGCTGCAAGTTTTAATGCATGCATCTTCTTAGAAATTTTTTTATTTCCATTTATTTAAGCCTAGTTTCAATGTTTTTTTTATTGCTACAATTTGAAGGATGGTTTATGAATCTACTACCATGGTTATCTCTTTATCTTTGTTGAAATTTATTCAATACATAATTATGTTTGTTTATCCCAGACCTTGAGGTTGTTCTAGTAGAATAGGAAGTGATTGTGTATTATGGGATTTGAGGCTAAAAAAAGAAAAAGCAGGTTATAATTGGTCCTAGAAAAGAAATGATATATATATTTTTTAAATTTGAATTTGAATTTTTACTTTTCTTTAAGCAAAGATTAATATAATTTTTTGGGAGAAAAGTATAAAAGCACTTTACAGTTTTATTTTTTACCAAACAAATTAGTAAAAAGCACTTCAACATCATGTCCATTTTAGTCATTATAATAGTTACAACACTTTTACGGTAAAAATTACCAAACGCTCTGACATTGCTTTTCATACTCATAGCGCTTTTAAATACCAGTTTACCAAACGTTTAACTGCTTTACTTTACAGCTGATTCTTTTTAAAGCACAGCAGAAGCAACTTTTTTTTAAAGCGGCAGCAATCCCAACGTGATATTCATTTTGACAAAGTGAATGACAACCCAAATGCAATGGAGATGGAGGGTGATGCACAAGAAGAAATCATATTACTTAAGGGCCTGGAGCACAAGAACTAGAAACATTAAGGAACAAGATTGCTGCAAGTTTAATGCGTGCATCTTCTTAGACATTTTCTGTATTTCCATTTATTTAAGCCTAGTTTCAATGTTTTGTTTTATTGCTACAATTCAAACCTAAAAAAAAATATTTATTGCTTATTCAATATCAAGGATGGTGTATGAACCTACTACCATGGTGATCTCTTTATCTTTGTTGGAATTTATTCATACATAATTATTTTTGTTGGAGTTTATTCAATTTGAATTTTTCTTTTCTTAAGCAAAGATTAATATAATTTTTAAGAAGAAAAGTATAAAAGCACTTTACAGTTTTATTTTTACCAAACAGATTAGTAAAAAGCACTTTAGCATCATGTCTATTTTAGTGATTATAAATAGTTATAGCACTTTTACGGTAAAATTTACCAAACGCTCTAACACTGCTTTTCATACTCACAGCACTTTTAAAATTACAGTTTACCAAACGTTTAACTGTTTTACTTTACAGCTGATTCTTTTTAAAGCACAGCAAAAGCAGCTTTTTTTTTTTTTTTTTTTTTTTTTAAGCGGTAATCAATCCAAACTAGTTTGATGAACTTGAGCTAAAAAGGAAATATTTGGTCGATATCTAGAAGAGAAGCAATTGAGCAAAGGTATAATCAAACTTAATTCAATATGCATCTCAAGACTTGACATGGATGGTAAACTATCAAACAAGTACTGTGACTGAGCGAGCAGAAAACTTAGACATTGATTTAGGCCTAGTTTGGGATTGCTGCCGCTTTAAAAAAAAGCTGCTTCTGCTGTGCTTTAAAAAGAATCAGCTGTAAAGTAAAGCAGTTAAACGTTTGGTAAACTGTTATTTTAAAAGCGCTATGAGTATGAAAAGCAGTGTCAGAGCGTTTTGGTAATTTTTACCGAAAAAATGTGTTGTAACTATTTATAATGACTAAAATGGGACATGATGTTGAAGTGCTTTTTACTAATTTGTTTGGTAAAAAATAAAACTATAAAGTGCTTTTATACTTTTCTCCCAAAAAATTATATTAATCTTTGCTTAAAGAAAAGTAAAAATTCAAATTCAAATTTAAAAAATATATATATCATTTCTTTCTAGGACCCAATTATAACCTGCTTTTTCTTTTTTTAGCCTCAAATACCATAATACACAATCACTTCATATTCTACTAGAACAACCTCAAGGTCTGGGATAAACAAACTAATTATGTATTGAATAAATTTCAACAAAGATAAGAGAGAACCATGGTAGTAGATTCATAAACCATCCTTCAAATTGTAGCAATAAAAAAAACATTGAAACTAGGCTAAATAAATAAATAAAAAAAAAAAAAAAAAAAAACTAAGAAGATGCATGCATTAAACTTGCAGCAATCTTGTTCCTTAATGTTTCTAGTTCTTGTGCTCCAGGCCCTTGAGTAATATGATATTCTTCTTGTGTATCACCTTCCATCTCCATTGCATTTGGGTTGCCATTCACTTTGTCAAAATGAATATCACGTTGGGCGTGCCTCCTTATATAGTTGTGAAGTGCCATAGTTGCAATTACTATCTTCACTTGCTTACCAAATGGATAGTTAGGCATGTCTCGTAAAATACTCAACTTTTTCTTCCATACACCAAAAGTGCGTTCAATGACACTCCTAAGGGAAGAGTGTACGTGATTAAATACTTCTCTAGAACCTGTTGGTTGAGTACCCCTACAGAAATCTGGAAGATGATACCTTTCACCTTTATATGGTCCCCAAATACCCGCTCATTTGTGGGTAACCCGCATCCACAAGATAATATTTTCCTGTAACCAATAAGATATGTTTAATTATAATATAATTTGAAAGTGTAAAAATTCGAAGTTTAATGATATGCACATATTTGAAACATTACCATTTGGAGGTTTGGGAAATTTAAAGCATTATTTCATAACGCTGATAAAAATCAAAGAGAACAACATTAAAAACTATTACAGATGTTTCATTGAATTATAATAAACAAACAACATTAAAAAATATTAATAACATACCTCAATTTTGTTATGCCACCATTCTTCAGAAGCATCAATAGTTCCAAATTTGGAATTCCACCCAAGACCAGTTTCTTTTCCAATTAGTTCTTTCCATATTTTCAATTGTGATTTATCATACTCGGCTCCTATCTCTTTACTCAAGCTAATCCTCACATTTTCCCATCCTTCTTTCTTAAAGTGAGTACCAGGACGATTACCTGCCTCCACATCCTTGATACACAAGTCACAAAATATAGTTGTATTCTGATTATTCCATACAGCCGGAACTCGTGATCCACTAGCCACATTATTATTCTTCACCATCTGTGCATGTCCTTATATAAATATGTATGTATTGGGAGATGAACATGTTATACCAAATAATGTTTTTACTAAAAAAATGCATAGTGCCTAAGTAATTATCTATAGGAAAACTTGGGCAAAACTACATACATCAAAAGTAATACACAAGTCGTACAAGATGACAAGGATTCAAAGAAAAATAGTTTATCGGGAAATAAAAGTTTGCAGCAAAACTAGTTTATCATAAGGGAATTAAAAGAAAAATAGTGCTTGTTTGGAATTGTTATAACTTTTCAATATGCCAAAATTCTCTCGCAATTCATAAAAGTGATTTCTTGTTTGATTATTCAGTGAAACGTGTAATAAATGCAGCATGCTCTGTTTGAACACTAAGAAATTTGATAAGAAACAAATTAGGACTTGCCCAAACACAACAGAAATAGAGTTTACAAACATGCAGATTACACAAATCCAAAACAAAGATTTTAGGCATGCATATTTCCCAAGAAATATTATATTACAAGTATGCGGATTATATAAACATATATATCCAGCAAAACTGTAGAAAAATAAAGCACGACCAGTAGAAAAATAAAAAAATAAAAAAAACAAGAGCAGAACGTATATAAAAAGTTTGAGAGATTGAAGAGATTGAAGAATATACCTTGTGAAAGAGATTGAGAGAGATTGAGTGAATGGTTGTGTCCAAACTTGGGAGGCTACGTGAAGATGAACTTTGTGGTTTGCAGATTTGAGAGAAATACGTGAGGATAGATTTCTAACCTAATAAGGGTATTTGTGGAATTACGAAAATTTCATTAAAAGGAGTGCTTGCTTCAATTAAAAGCAGCTTTAAAAAACAACCCGGAGGTTGCTTTTAAAAGCTGCTATGAAAAGACCATTGCTTTTAAAATAAGCATATTTTATTTTTACCAAACACCTTAAACTGCTTAACTTTAAAGTTAAGCAGATTTTTGGCCAAAAAAGCAATCCCAAACGGGCCTAAGCGCCCTGTTGCTTGGATGTGACGGTGTTATTGAAAATTATAATTATTATATATATGACATGAGCCTATTTATTCAAATTTTTTTTAAAAAAAAGTTACGGAACCACATTATGATATATCTTATGTTGTTTCATAACACTATTTATTGATTTCTTATTGATAAAATTAATGCTCATTTGTCGGTCATAATTTACACAAATTGTAGAAAAATATTCTAAAAGGTGATGAAGAATGTCAGCCAGAAGAGCCTACAATCTTTCTAGAATCTCCTTTTAGGCCGAATTACCTCATCCCAGCCGACCCAAAAAGACGGGCCGCGCCATGTCGGATCTTACTTTATCAAGTCGGAATCGTGTCGTGCTCAAAACGACCCAACCTGTTTGACATCTCTAGATTGGTTACCTTACTCAATTTAGTGTGTGTACAATCAGTTACATTACTATCGACATCGCTATAATACAATTCTATAGACAATAATTAATTTGAAGATCAACATCAATGTATGTGACATAGTCAAGGTCTGAACATAATATGTCACAAATACAATAACATCACATATGCCAAGTGTGGCCACTAGTAGCGAGATGGAAGAAAAGTAGAGCCAGTACTCGATTGTTGGCAAGTTTGGATAAACAATAGGAGCTTGGCATTTTACAGTAATCTCCGTTGAAATCCCCAACCATGCTCCAAAGTACATGTTACTCAATCCTTGTGGAAGAGCAGCTTTGTGTATATCCAACAATTTATTTGAAGATAAAAAACAATGTGCATCAATAGGCATGTAAAAATGCTCGAAGCCTGACATTATTGTTTTTGCAATGGGTTGGCCCAACCCGATTTTTTTTGGCCACACTAGCGCTATACTAAATCATTTATCTAGAAGAGACTACTAGATTAGTCAGTTGTCCCTATTATTTTAATCAACTTCTTTATATTATGTAATCTAGTACATTTTAATTAACAACTATGTGACATAGTCAACTTTTGAACGTAACATGTCACAAGGTCAACGGTCAAGTCAAAGTCAACATGTTTGACCAATACAATTGACTGAGTCAAACAATTTAGACTATGAATGTGACTTAATGGTTATGTTATAATTCATAATTAAAAGTTAATTATGAAATTAGTTTTGACATTAGAAAGTATTGGGTTTTAATCATTTAAGTGCAAAAGACAAAATGCCCAAATACCCAATGGGCCTAAGAATAAGTGTTGTATGACAACACAAATTCATGAGACCCAAAAGAAAGCCCATGAACCCATGGCTGGCCATAGAGGGAGAGAGTCTCTCCTCTCTTATGTGTCTTATCTATTTAAGTCACACTATGACCTCCTAAGCTTTTATGTGTTAGCATTGAAGGTGAGAATTTTCTCCCTCCATCTTTTGCCAAAAGTCAATCCACAAAGAGGGAGTCTAACATCTCTATCATCTTAATTGATCTCCTCTCCACCTCTTTTGCATTTGGTGTGGTGAAATAGAGGGCATCTCCTTTGGTGCCTCTTTGTTGAAGAATCTCTATAACCTCAAGGAAGATAGAAGGCATTCCTTAAAGGTGTTCAAACTTGGCCAAAATGAGCTTCAAGGGTATATTCTCATCCCTCTTCCCTTTTTCTTTTGTGTACAAAGAGATTAGACCTTAAAGATACATGGGTAGAAATGAAATAGACTTAGCCCAACAAGTTTTAAGTAAAATGATTTTGCTTTTGAATAGATGATTCATATGTTTTGTGGCTAGAATTGATTTTAAAGTTTTTTTTATACATGTTTCCTTCTTTTAAAATATGTATATATATATATATATGTTTATTTATATTTATAAACTAAGTTATATACATATAAGCCATATATGAATTGATATATGTTTTTGATGTAGTTTTCACATGTATTAGAACAAATAGTCTAAATTTTTAGTATTTTTGTCATGTCTAGATTTCTAGTTAATAAAATGGAATTTATATATGTTGCACTCATAGTGTTTCTTTCCTATTCAAAATTAATTTTTATTGGTTTTATTTTTTCTTTAATGGGGCGAGGCGGGGAAACCTTTCCCCAATGAAGGCGGGAAAAATTAGTTTTGGCTATTGCGGGTCTGAAGGCCGGGATGAGGAAAAAATACTTAATCAATATGGAGATGATAATGACATACCCATCCTTGATTCGCTCCATTGCCATCCCTGGATACTCAATGTTTGAATGGTCATAGCCAAGTGATGTCGCAACATCAAATATGTCAAACATTAACATATGGTGAACGTTATAGTTGTCAGCCCACTAGACAACAGCACCAACATATTTCCCCCTTTTAATTTCACCTCCATAGTGAATTTCGATAGTGAAAATATCAGGATCACCTAAAAAAACACACAAGCATTGACAACAATCACCTATTTGCAGCAAATTACATTTACTACAACCACCTACCAATTGACCCCATTTGATTTTGAACTTATGCACATATTTACTCAAGACAGAGAAAGGTATAAGCAAGTACATATCACACACTGACAACTTGGGCCCACACATGCATTTGAAAACAAAATGAGAATCTCAGTAAAATCCTAAAAGGAGAGAAGAAGCCATGTTCAACTGACACACATTGGACCACAAAAGCTTAAACAATTGCATGGCCCCGTTTGGTTCACGGAATGGATTTGAGGGGAAATCATTTCCCATGTCATTTTCCAAGGAATGGGAATGAAAGATTCATTTCCCACGTTTGGTAATGTTAGGAAAGTAACCGGAAGATTTCACTTTGTTTCCTTTCCCATGTTTGTTTTGAGTAGGAATGGAAAACAAAGTTTGTATAATTTTTCAATTATACCCATATTAAATTAAATAAAAAAAGAATGTATTTAATGATACATTGTAATTATAAATTGTTCATAGGGACAAAATAGTCATGAAAATTGTGCATTAAATGTTGGCTCATTTTCCCAAACTTTCCCATGAGGAGGGAAAACAAAACCCAAGTTAAGAGGAGGGTTTCACTTTCCCCCCTACTTTCCCATGTGCCAGGCAACCATTTCCCATGCCTGGACTTACCAAACATGGGAAAGCAATTGAATTCTCATTCCCAAGCCTCCTTTACCATGAACCAAACGGGGCCTAAAAGGGAACAGTGACCACTTATTGTACTTGGGAGGATTCCCCATGTTCCGCACCTCAAGAGGAATCTTAAATCCTCCGTTAGCTGCGTCGAATCTGTTTAATTTCATAGACATGGGCTAGCGGTCCACTACTCGCAATACCAATATTGCACCCAACTTAACCACCTACAAAGCCTAGTAGGTTTGGAGTTTAATCACAAAAAGACTCGATGATATTAACAGTGGAACAATTTATTATATGTTGTATTTTATTTAGCCAAATTTTCGATGTGGGACTTATAGTCTTCAACACGCTCCTGCACGTGGGACCACCATATAGTACACAACACGCAGAACCAAGTCCACATCGAAGTCAAACATTCAAGCCCAACACGTGAACACCACGTATTGGGTAAGGGTAAACGTTCAAGCGCAACATGACACGACATGTCAGTGATGGATAAGGGCTCAGTAATTCTGGCTCAGTCAATCAACCCACTCTGATACAATGTTAAATTTCAGAGACACGAGCTAGCAGGCCACTACTAGCAACACCGATATTGGCCCTAACTTAACCACCTACAAAGCCCACCTACAATTCAGATTTGCTGATTTCGCAATTCCCCAAAAGTTAAAGCCCTAGTTCAAGCTCAAAGACTTAAACTTTATATGACCCACAGAATGGACAGTTTTGTCCTCACAAAGGTCGTCGCATGACTCTCACATGACTAATTTGATGGAAATACAGATGAAATGTCTACAAAAGTGACAGTGAGGGGAAAATTTGTGTTAAAATGTAATTCAAGTAATTAATTTTCTTAAGAAAAAGGTAAGGGGTAAATCAAAAGTAAAGAACAAGTTCATGGGGCATTTCGGCATATTAATCTTAAGTTAATAGATAATATAATTAAAAAATAAGAAAATATTAATTACTATTTCATATAATTAGAAGATTTTAAAAAAAAATTAATGACTCATTAATTATTAATATTAATTTTCAATTCAATTAATATTATTATAAAAGTAAACTAGAATTAATTAGGAAAAATTTTAATTCCTACAAATTGAGGAGGATCTCTTGCTTAAAACCATTATGGTTTTGACACTTGACAATTGCTTAATATTCACAATTCTTTTATGTTGGAACTTTGTCAGTTTTTGCTTGAATTGGAAAAGTGTCAAAATCACATTGGTTTTAGGAGGAGCTCGTCTTCAAATTTAAGGAGTGTATGGGCCTTTTTTTGGCAGCTCCAGATGGACATGGGGTGGTGCAAAGAACAAGTGAGTAATGTTGCCTCTGTGCCTGAGTTCAAGTATCAGACCCCAAAGAACTCAAAAAGTTTGTGGATCCCTAGGGAGTGCCCTGGTCTATTTCACCAAGAAGCTTGTGGCATGGAAGCTGAGTCTCCACAAGTTTAGCAAGAGAAAAAGAGAGAAAGAGAGAGCTTGGCCAAGTCTTTTCCTTTCTTTTCTTCTCATTTTCCCCAACTCAACCCTTTTGAGTGAAACTTGCTGATTCCAAGCACATTGGGACAAAGATTTTTAGCGCCCCAAAGCTTTCCTGCAACTAAGCCTTCTAGTAACCTTCATTCTTGGCAATGCCTCCTTTTCGCTTTCTCTCCTTATTTTCCTATGAGAACTTATAGAGGCCATTTTGGGTGAAGGCGCTGGTCAAATTGAAAAGGGCGTTGGCTTTTCTTCCAGCAGCTCCTGTGCCTAGGTGAACGAGACTTTTAAAGGCTCTGGTTTGGTTGAAAGGGTGTTGAAACCTCTCTCTTCTTGCTTACCCATGTAGTTGGGCTCAAGAAAGTGGGCTTTGATTTTGGTGCTCTCAATAAGCCCAAAACCTCCACCTTTTGAACACTCAATGGACTTTATAGACCCTCGTACCTATCCACATCACAACCCACTCAACAAGCCCCATGCATTTATGTTGCTTGGAACCACTTAGGCTTGTCGGGTAGTTTGGCACTAAATAGGGTGGTTGTTAAGCATGGCATATATTCACGTTCTTATGCTTGAGCTTCGCTATTTTGCAATGGCTCAAGGTCGTGCGAGGTAACACTTGACGAGTCAATAAGCTTGTTATAGAACCAGTGCATTTTTGCAAGCTTGCTGCGACCTCCCACATGACCAAAAAAATTGCTTGCCTAATTGTAAAATGGGAATGGGATTATGTTCTTCTAAACGTAAATATTGAAGTTGTTTTCTTCCCATTTCGGCCTTCATGCATAACTCAAGGCTTTATGTTTGACTTGCTAACATGATATTACAAAATGGTCAGGGAGTATCTAGTAATTGTCTATTAGTTTTACATTTATATGTCCTGACATGATATTATACACACTATAACATGGTTTTGATCATGAGTTTCTTTAAAAGAATTTAAAACTCTGTTTCCTTAGCCATTAAAACACACAAAAAATATATGTATATATCAAACATAACATAAACAAAACATCTTACAATACCATTAAAATTTACATTCAACGCACTGCCCAAAATAAATAAAAAGACACATCCAAACAAATTATAGTTAAGAGATGCTAAGTTCGAATTCGCATTCTTCGTTAATTACAAAAAAAAATTCCTAAAGTTAAGAGAGAAAACCAAACAAGGTATCTTCAATGAGAAAAGATACGTTGTTAGGTGCTCCGTTTTATTTTCCCAAGGCAGCCGATTCTATGCCACTAAAGCTTCATGCCATTGAAGACTGATCCCGAAAGCGATTAGTAAGCGAACAAGCGTTTACCCCGCAAGAGAGGAGGATTGATGGACATAGGCTGCAGATGGACCAGAATATGCTGTGGGACTTCTGACGTTCGTTCCTCTCGACATGGGAGAAGGAGTCACGGCAGCTCCTATAATAGTTCCGAGTCGGACAGATGAAGGGACCAGCTATGCCGAAGTGCACCGACTCCTTTCTTCACTCGAAAAGGGGGAGACCCGTTCTCTAAGTCAGTGGCCGGCTTCGATACTGCTTCCTTTGATAGAGTCACGCACCTATTTGAGTGAAATCGTTTGGGTGAAGCTTGTGAACTGAACACCTATTAAAATTCAGCTTGTCGAGACAGATAATTGAATGAAGCTTGGAACTGTCGTACCGTTGACTCTATCTATTCATTGAATTTACTTTTTTACATTTTTTATATAGGCTCGCTCCCTCTTTTTCCAAGAATTCATGCACTTCCCTTTACACACTCTTTCTAGACTACTTCTTAAAAGCATGCTGGCTAAGGAAGACCCGAATCAGCCATTTGTGCCTTTTTTCAATTGTTTTCGACATATACCTTGCTTCTACAGCTCGATTCTTCCCCTGAATTGTTTCCTTCACTTCACCGGAAGAAAAGAAAACATAGGTCGAATTACTATATAAAGAAGAGTTGTAAACTATAGGACTTCTTGTTCGAGTAGGAAGATTTCGGTTTTTCTCGTTCCTTCTCTTCGATAAGAATTTAGGATGCAACTCGGATTCCTCCTTCACGGCTTGAAGCCGGATAGCTTGAAGCTTAAGGGCTCTCGGAATTCCCTTTCAAGCTTTCTCGAGTCACCCTAATGTAACGGCTAAGAGAAAAGTTCCTTGCCTTACCCTCGAAGAAAAGTTCCTGAACTGAGCTCACTGCCTTCATTAAGGAAAGGTAATCCGGTTGCTTGAATGGTTTAGCTTTCACCAACATGGTACAAACCTCATGTATATATATAGTCTCTTTCTACTGAGGGATTCCTTAAATAATTTTATTTAAGAGACACCCTTTAGGGTGCCCTACGAATTTTTTTCAATGATCCAAGCCATCTACTTTTTAAGTCTTCAATCATAGATCATCCTTGCAAAAAATTATACAAATCGAAAATAGTTTCGATATCCAAAAGTGTCCTACAAAATCAATGAACATGGTATTTCAAGAACGTACTACAATTTTAATAATTCAATTGAGTGATCAAATGATATCTGATTCAAGTGATTTTTGTAGAGATGATCTTTGAATGAGTATCTAGAAAATAAATAGTTTGGATTAGTGAAATACAATATGGAATGGGCATTATAAGGGTGCTCAAATAAGCTTATTTGAGGAATCCTTCAACTGAAGCTCCCTATATATAAGGTTAATTGTTTTATTAGTCCCTGAACTTAGACCCGATTTGTATTTGAGTCCCTCAATTTCCAAAATTATTCCCATGGTCCTTCAACTTCAGTTCGTCAGGACAAATGGTTCTGACCTCAATTTTGTTAATTTTTTCTGTTAAATGCAGGGGCAAAATTGTATTTTTGTATCAAAATTGATTAAAATATGAATAAAAAATTAAAATTAAACTCTCTCCCCTTTATCCCAATTTCTACTCCCCCCAAACTTTATTTATTTATTTTTGGATTGGTTTTTTATTTGATTTTCTTTTATTGTTATTTTAAAGATATGATTTTTTTATCCTTTTTTTTGTTTTAATATAAAAATACAATTTTTCCCTTGTATTTAACAAAAACAGTTAACAAAATTGACGGTAGGACCATTTGTCCTAACGAAAGTGAGGTTAAAGGACTACGGGAACGATTTTGGAAATTGAGGAACTCAAATGCAAATCAGGTCTAAGTTCAGGAACTAAGAAAACGATTAAACCCTATATATATATATATTAGTTTGTTTCAATTAGTAGTTGTCATCATAATGATACTTTGAGCACTACCATGAAGAAAAAAATTGCTTTGAGGTAGATTATTCAGTAGTTCTATCCTTATTTTCTCTATTTAATTTTAATTAAAATATGGTATAATTTCGGTTGGATTTGGCTTCTCCAAGTGGGAGGGACCTAATATCATAAAGGGTAAATTACTCAAATAGTCCTCGAATTTATACCTGATTTACATTTTGGTCCCTCAATTAAATTATTCGTTCAAATGGTCCATCAACTCTATATTAATCGCTCCATTGATCCTACTGTTACTTTATGTTAATGTTGCCATCAAATGTAAGGTAAAACCATCCATAACCGTCCTATATTCCCCAAATAGGTGATAAAGTGGTGATACATAGGTGATAAGGGGGTGATACATAGATCAAAAGTCTTATTTACCCCCGCAAATGTAGCATGTGTTGCTCACATGACTAAATTTAACAGAAAATGTAACGGTAGGACCAAAGCTCCGATTAATAAAGAGTTAGTGGACCATTTGAGTAATTTACCCAATCATAAAATTATAAATAGCGGAAGGGGTGTTCCGATAAAAATGTTAGGCTTTGTTTCAATTCGATGGAGGGATTTGTAAGAAATAATTTGGATTTGACAACAACCCTAAATTTGCTACAATAAGGACCAAATCAGGTTGAATGTATTTGAAATAACAAGATGTAGTACATTTGAAATGACTACATGTAAGGAATCATTTGAAATCCGTTGTTTTTTTTTCTTCCTTGTTCAAATCTTGACATACATAGAGCGTAATAGCCTATACAAACAATTTTACCGTATAATCCAAAGATTTGGAATCCTTACATTCAAATGAAGCCTTGAAGTTTTAACCTCTTTTGTTCCATGATATGTAGTAGTTGGGTGTAATTCTTTGTTAATTATATATCTCTCAATGGAGGAATGGCGATATGAACTTGGGAACGTCTTCTATCATTCGGAAGAAAAATATCACTAGACCAAAAGCTAGTCGGTTAATTATTCCTGTAAATACTTGGAGGCAAAAATTTAACAAGAATATTAAATGTATTGAATTGGAAAAAAAAATTTTAATAAATTTCTTTCAACTTTCCCACCCAGAAATAGTGACTACAAAAAACCCAAAAAAAAACTTAAAAAAATCCCCCCCGTGTGTTTCGACCATATATTGTGCCACTAGTTTCCTCAAGCTCTATTATTCTTCAAACAGTATCTGAAGCCAAAGCATGAAAAACACAAATTTCCACTCCTAATTTCTGACTTTAGATCAAACTAAAAAAAAAATTCTGACTAGAAAATCCTCCATTCCCATTGTGACGTCAATACCCATGACTAGCAAACTGGGAAGACCACTTTCTGGTTTGCGTCTTTGCATGTCATCTCTACTGCACACATTCTCCCTCTTTCTACACACATACACACATCGAAACGAAGGCATCACCTCATTTGGGAATTCAGACTACAATTGCCCCCCTAAAGCTTGTGACCATCTGTCGAATTTCCAAGCAAACTACAGCCTTTTTTTTTCCCCTCCTGCGAGTACGATCATGATGTCACTCAAGCTGTTGACGGTCAGGTGGTCACAACCATTCAGATGCGGGCTGAAACAATTGCAAACATTGGTGGATCCTTGAACTGGAACTACATATGCAGCGACTAAATAAAACCTTCTTCCCACCGCATTTCATGAATATCTACTTGACCATGTCGCTTCTGACCCTCTAGCAGATGAGTTGCCGTACGATCTCCAAACCTCTCTCCATTGTCGCCGACTGCTACTTCTTTCAAATGGGTAATTTTGAACATCTGCAAGTGATGTAGAAAGCCCGTAGGTATTAGAGTAAACACTTAAGCAATAGAACAAAGAAGAAATAAGAGATCGAGAAGAAGAATTAGAGATCGAAGAGATGAAGGGAAAGGGAAGGAATCAGAGAGTTTAAAGTAAGCAAATTTATCATTAATCAAGTCTACCTTAAAAGATTACAAACAGCTCTATTTATAGAGGCAAAACCCTTCTTAGTCAAGGAAAATGAAAAGTAAACTTCAAGAAATAGGAAAGCAAAATCCTTTCTCAACTGTTCCACAACTTTAATTCACATTAACATCCCCAAATCCCATCATTCCAAACTCAACGGAACCGGGCTGCTCAAGCCATTTATAAACTCATAAACAATACCTTCCAAATCCTTTCCCAGACATGCACGACGGAATCCTCAACGCTCGTGTGGCTAATACACCTTTCCAAACACATAGTCATAATTATATAAATATAATAAACAACGATAAACCCATAAGACATTTGTAATAATATCCAAATAATCCAATACACCGAAATCAAATTCTATAACATGCCCAAATCCTCATAATTACCAATTACTACACGACCTCAATCGAGCTGACATGACCCACTATCTGAGTCACTGGGCTCACAGGGCCCACAACCTCCAATTTTCTATCCAACAATTCCTATTGGCCCATGGTCATATGTTAAGCTCATCCTAGAAGTTTCGTCACGATCCGACGGTTTGCTTGACCTATATCGCGGAATTTGGTCAATTAGGCCCGCGGGGACCATGACCCTTGATTACTGATTCGAAAGTTCTTATAGGTCCGACATAGTCTACTAAACAAGTTCCGAGGGTTTAGTCTCGATCGAGATGTCACATCCCGGGATCAGCTCCGCCGTAGCACGATATTGTCCACTTTAGGACCCCTCTCTGCCCTCACGGTTTTGTTTCTGGAAGATCACGAGCAACTTCCCAGTGGGTCACCCATCTTGAGATTGCTCTGGCCCCAACTCGCTTAACTTCGGAGTTCCCATGACTCCGAAGCCAGTGAGCTCCCAAAAGGCCTCGTGCTAGATAAAGGCGGGCATGTACATATAACGCATATCACCCCCTCTCGGTTGGTCGATGTGGAATGTTACAATCCACCCCCTTTAGGAGCTCAATGTCCTCGTCGGCAGACTCGCACCACACAACAGATTGGCTTTGATACCAAATTGTAACATCCCAGGATTGGCTCCGTCATAACACGATATTGTCCGCTTTGGGCCCCCTCTCTGCCCTCATGGTTTTGTTTATGGGAGCTCACGAGCGACTTCCCAGTGGGTCACCCATCCTGGGATTGCTCTGGCCCCAACTAGCTTAACTTCGGAGTTCCCATGACTCCGAAGCCAATAAGCTCCCAAAAGGCCTCGTGCTAGATGAAGGCGGGCATGTACATATAAGGCACATCACCCCCTTTCCGTTGGTCGGTGTGAGATGTTACACAAGAGGTCAGATCACTCTCGATTGCACGGTAACCGATTTACCTAACCCTAAACTCATTGAATCGAAGTATCCGGGACTCCAATTCTCAATCCGTGAGTTCCTACACGATCCTAGAGATATAGAGAACAATATAATTGAAATTGGGATAGATTGAACGGTCTGAACCTATCGAACCCGGATATCGCATATTAGGTGCAATATCCGTTCGACTGTCAAACGATAACCAAATTCAAATTCGGGCATACTGTGGTGCTTAAGACGACAAGGGGAACATTTTAAAACGTAATGGGCTGCCACACAGTGGCCTAAGCTCCACCATCCACCGCAGGCAGTGCGTGGGTGTCTTGGAAAAATTTCGGTGACCAAAAAACTCCAAATCACGAGTTAATACCCATACCGTTAGAATCAAATGACCTAGGGGATCAACTTATATTCTTGGACCACGGCCAAAAACTAACCGATACTAGCCGGATTGAAGCCTAAACCGTCGTCATAATTGGGGGTTAGAAATCGATCTCTAAAACCTCAAAATTAACCCAAACAAAGCAAATAGACAGGTAGAGCACGATGAGAAGATGAAGTTTCATACCTAGTTCAACGATTTTGGCTGTCGAAAACTCCGAAAATCGCATAAACATCGCAGGCGACGAAAAAGGGTTTTTAGCTCGGTTTCAGTCAAAATTGAGGCCAAGCTTGGAGTTTCGAAGGTGAAAATGGGTATGGACGTATAGAGAAGGAAGAGACGATTTTGTTGCAACAAGAATCGTCGGATTTGGTCCCCGGACGGAGGAGAGAACGCAGGCTCAAGTGGCCGGTTTGTTTTCGCGAAAGGGAGAGAGAGAGAGAGAGAGAGAGAGAGCACGAGGGGGAGGAGAAAGATCGTTGAGAGAGAGCTTATCTGTTTTAAAACCCAACTTCGAAATATTTACGGTTGTGCCATTGCACTTCCGTTCACCACAACTCCTTCGTTATAACACGGAATTGAGCGTGCCACCTGTCTATGGACTTGTAATGATGAGCTCTACGCAACGGTGCAACTCAATTTCCCAAATACTTCTCCCAACAAAAAGTGGCCAAAACACCCTTACCCCAAAAATTAAATTGTAGTTTCCTAATTAATAATTAATTTATAATTATCTGGGTCTGGATGTTACACCAATTCCCCCCTACTATCTAATTCTCAACATTTCATCCAATTTGCTATTAAATATGATGGTAAATTGGTCATTTTATATGTTAACTAATATGAAATTAAAATAAATAAATAAATCACTTTAATAAATAGAGGGACCCACCCACTTCACCTCACCCTTCCCTTTGTTATAATTAAAAAAACAAGGCGGAGAGGGGGCTTGAGTGGGAGACAGAGAAAGAGAGGGGGAGGGGGAGAGAGAAAGCGATAGAGGAAGAGAGGGAGAAAAGGGAGGCAATGATGGTGGGTGGTGGTCATAGGGGGGAGGGGAAGAATGAGGAGGGGGCTAAATGTTCTGGGGGTGAATAAAATAGAAAGGGGGAGGAAGGGGAAGGGGTCTGTGAGTGGGGATTGATCTAGGGGTGAAGGGTCACTTGCGGTGGGTGGTGGTCATAGGGAATGGGAGGAGAAGAAAACATTGTAAGGGGGTTGGGTTCTGGGTCTGTGCTCTGTTGATCCCCATGATTTTTTGTTTTTTTTGTTTTTGTTCTCATTTTTCTTCAATCTTTTTCTAAAAAAATAATTTTTTTTTAATGATTTAACATAAAATTGGATGAAATGTGGAGATTTTGACAGTAGGGGGAATTAGCAGTAAAAATTAGTTTGTGTACTTAATTTTCCACAAAAAAAAATGTTGAGGGTGCAAATTGAAAGTAGCATACAAGTTCAATGGCTAAATCGACAGTTAATCCAAATGAATATAATCCTATGTAGCACAAAAGTCAAGGGACTGGTATCAACGACAACAAATGTGTGGACTCAACTCTTGTTTGGATTTTTGGATCTTTATCAACTTTTTTATTAATTAAATTTCATGATAAATATTTATATATAAAAAAAAGATAAATGACTTTCAGATAGTATATTAGAATGGAAACATTTATACCAAAAAGAAGATTTGTAATTGGTAATATGCTCTTGTTGAGAGTTGAACTCAAGACCTCCCGCTTACTAAACGGGTGCTCTAACCAACTGAGCTACAAGAGCTATTTGTTCTCTTCTTTCTTAAAAACAAAATAAATACATAAAAGCTCTGGAATAGAAAAGACGATATAACTATGCCAACTTCAGCTTTTTGTATCATTTTTCTTATTCTGGGGCTTTTAAAAAAGATGAACATAACCCGTTTAGAAAGAAGGAGGTCTTGAAATTACCTGTAGGATGACTAAGAATGCCTATTGGGGGTGAATAGGCCAATTTAAAATTATAATCAATAAATAACAAGAAAAATTAGGTATTAGACATAATTAACTTTACTAATTAGTATTTAGACATTGGGTATTTTGTTTGGGTTTTAATACCTAGGAAAGAATTGTTATTTTGATTAGGCCAAAGAGGAGGCCTAGATTCGTTGCCTGTCAAAATTATAAAGATAAAATACAATTTACCCTTTTGTTTAAAACTAGATCTCAGCCCCTCTCTCTCCTCTCTTCCTTATTCACTCCATCAACGAGAATGCCCTCTCCCTCACATCTTCCCTCTTCTCTCCATCGACTCTTTCTCCACTTCCTTCTTTGCTCAATCAACGACGACGACACCAGCTCTCTCTACTCTTCCTTATTTGCTTCATCGACAATGACACTCTCTCTCATCTTCCTTCTTCTCATGAAGCTCTGCTTTTCATCTGGTGAGGTATGTGTTTTCTAGATTAGATTCTTATTTCAAGTTTGTAGTTATGTTTTGGTTTGAGAAGTTGATTTTGAAGTATTTGATGTTGATTTTGTTCTCATTTTGCCTTTTGTGATAAGATTTGAGTTTCCTTTTTGTTAGTAAATGGGGATGGATGAGCTTAGTGAAGACGATAAGTTGACAGTCCTCTATGCCCATAAAATTCAACATTTCTTGAGCCAGCCGTTCCATGTTGCAGAGGTTTTCACTGGTGCCCCTGGAAAATACGTGGAATTGAAAGAAAGCATTATCAGCTTCCAGGTATCCCTTCCTCCTCTCTCACTCTATGTTCTGTTTGCATGTTTCCTCATTTCTGATATTGAAGTTTTGTTTATTACTTTCCCAATTACCGGTGGAATTCCTCTCTTGGAGAAACTATTAATTATCAGTTATGGTTTTCCATGATATTTTACTATAACAATTAATTATGTATGTTTTGAAATGATGGAGTCATTAAAGTATTAACAGGAGAATTAAGGTTTCCAAATTCAGGATGATAGAGGATGGGGTTGTTTATATCCATCAAAGTCTGCTTTAGTCTTTGTTATTTTTTGATAATCATTTATTCAGGATAACGACAACTTTTGTTATCTGGGCTAACTATGGTTCCATTTTATTTGGATGATCAGCTATACTTATAATTTTCCTCTTGCAATGGATGGCCTTTTGAGGTTCACAAGCGGATTATTGATGGTTTGGATGTTGATTCTTCTCATGCTCCATCGGGCATGGGTGGCAAAGTCTCCACAAGGCTGCTGGTGGCAGCTTCACAGGCAGGAAGCTTGATTGGAAAACAAGGAGGAACTGTTAAATCTATTCAAGAATCATCTAACTGCATAGTTAGAGTTCTTGGAGCAGGTCATCTTCCTTGTATTTTGAATCTCTTATATTTTCTAGTTTTCCAAAATGCTTGTAGACATACAGATAAAAGAGCATCTTATTGTGAGTTCTTGCTAAAATATGAAAACTATGAGAGAATATTTGTTTGTGGGAATTTTCTATGTATTCTTCTCCTTCTAGGAGGTCATATTTATAATACAACGAAACCTGAAGGGGCAAGTAAATAATAAATTCCTAAATCTATTTACAATAGGAAATCAAGAATTAAAGTAAATCAATTATAATTATAATAGGAATTCTTGGTGTGTAAGGAAAGTAAGTCAATATCCACAAGTCACGCCAAAACTCCCCCTCACGTAAGTGAATTGTGGAATGCTTTACTGGAAATCGCCTTTGTCAAAATATCCGCCAATTGATCCTCGGATTTCACAAAAGGAAACTGAAACACTTTAGCCTCAAGCTTCTGTTTGATGAAGTGTCGATCCACCTCAACATGTTTAGTACAATCATGCTGAACCGGATTCTGTGCAATGGCTATAGCAGCCCTGTTGTAACAAAAGAGATTCATTGTAGATGTAGGTTTATACCCAAGTTCAGTAAGCAACTTTCTTAACCAAAGAAGTTCACAAATCCCTTTAGTCATGCCTCTGAACTCGGCTTCTGCACTGGATAAAGCTACTACATTCTGTTTCTTGCTCCTCCATGTCACCAAATTACCTCCCACGAATGTGAAGTAACCCGATGTGGATTTTCTATCTGTTACATTACCTGCCCAATCTGCATATGAATAACCATCAATATTTAGATGACCATGCTTGGAGAACATAAGTCCTTTTCCAGGTGCAGACTTCAAATATCTAAGTATCCGAAGAACTGCATTCATGTGGTCTTCACTTGGAGAGTGCATAAATTGACTGACAACGCTCACTGCATAAGCAATGTCTGGTCGAGTATGTGACAAATAGATCAATCTTCCCACTAATCTTTGGTATCTTTCTTTGTTAGTTGGAACTTGATCCGGATATTCTCCAAGATGATGATTCTGAACAATAGGAGTGTCCACAGGTTTGCAATCTAGCATTCCTGTGTCTGTCAACAAGTCCAAGAAATATTTCCTTTGAGAGAGAAATATGCCTTGCTGCGATCAAGCCACCTCAATTCCCAAGAAATACTTGAGCCCACCTAGATCCTTCATCTCAAACTCTGTAGCCAAATAGTCTTGTAGCTGTGATATTTCCTGTTTATCATTCCCAGTAATAATCATATCATCAACATAAATTATTAATGTTGTTACCTTCCCTTTCCGATGTTTCAAGAACAGAGTATGATCTGAGTTGCACTGTTTGAAACCATTGTTCTTCATTGCCATGGTGAACCGTTCAAACCATGCACGTGGTGACTGTTTCAACCCATACAATGCTTTTCGTAACCTGCAAACTGTTCCAGTTTGAGTAGTATTATAACCAGGAGGAATGTCCATGTACACCTCCTCCGTGAGTTCGCCATGTAGAAAAGCATTCTTTACATCAAACTGGTGTAGTGGCCAATCCAAATTAGCTGCAAGGGACATAAGACTCTGACGGTGTTTAACTTTGCAACTGGAGCAAAGGTTTCTTCATAGTCTATACCATAGGTCTGTGTGTACCCTTTTGCCACAAGTCTTGCCTTGTATCGCTCGATAGATCCATCTGCATTGTGTTTTATAATAAACACCCATCTACATCCAATAGTCTTTTTCCTCGTGGTATAGTCCCCAATGTCCAAGTCTAATTTTTCTCAAGAGCTTTCATCTCCTCTTTTATAGCTTGGACCCACTTAGGATCTTTCAATGCTTCAGAGACCTTGGTTGGAATATGGATAGCAAAGAACTGATGCACAAAAGCCTTGAGTGGTTCAGACAGCTTCTCAGTGGATACATGATTTGCAATTGGATACTTGGATGTCTTGCCAATATCAGGTGAATAGCGGTTTGGTGGCTTCCCACGATTTTGCCTGAAAGGTAATTGATATCCAATAGTTTTATCCTCTAAATGCACAAGTCTAGTAGGAGTAGTTACCTCAAGGATATTCTCAGGAGATTGGTCTGTTGGTACTGTTGAGTTAAGGGGGGGTCTTCATCTTGTTGTTCTGTATTGTCTGTAGGTGTGAGACTCGGATAAGAAATATCTTCGTATGGATCAGGTGGGCCAGGTAATTGATCGCTATGAATGGGCGATTGGTCGCTTTTTGGCAGAGAGTAATCTTGTGCTCCAGACTCGGGATGATCAATCATTTCTGTACATAGGAGAATTTCTTCGTTTTTCAAGTTGCTCCAATTCTGCTCTTCACTTCGTATCTCCCCCTGAAGCATAGAATTGGATGATGGGTCATGGAAGAACAGCTCAGATTCCAGAAAGGTCACATCCAAAGTGACATAGGTACGTCGGGTAGGAGGGTGATAACAACGGTAGCCTTTCTGATGAGTGGCATAACCCACAAAAACACAACGAAGCGCACAGGGATCAAGTTTGCTACATTGATTTTTGTGGAGATGAACGAAAGCCACACATCCAAAGATTCGAGGTGTGAGTACCAAAACAGAGGGCAGAGGTCTGTGTTGCACAAGCACCTGTAAGGGAGTTTTAAAGGTCAATACACCAGAAGGCATGCAGTTGATTAGGTGAACTGCAGTGACAATAGCATCATCCCAGTAATGGCGAGGAACATGATCGCCAATCAGAAGTGCTCGGGCGGTTCAAGAAGATATCGATTCTTTCTTTCAGCAACACCATTTTGTTGCGGGTGTCTGAGGACAAGTCGTCTCATGGATAATTTCATGTTGTTGGAAGTAAGTCTGAAAGCCATGAATGACAAATTCTCCACCATTTTCGGAGCGAAGAATTTGGATTTGAGCATTAAACTGAGTTTTCATCTGTTTGTGGAATGACTGAAAACGGGAAAACACTTCGTTTTTATTCTTCAGCAAATAAAGCCATGTCATCCGTGTACAATCATCTATGAATGTGACAAACCATCGAACACCAGAAGAAACAGTGATAGGTGAAGGTCCCCAGACATCAGAGTGAATTAACGTAAATGGAGTAGTACACTTGTTCGTACTCAACGGGTAGGGCACACGGTGACTCTTGGCCAAAATACAAGTATCACATGTGAAGTCGGAGTCCTTGAAACCTGAGAATAAATCTGGTATAAGATGCTTCATATAACTAAAATACGGATGTCCCAATCAACGGTGCCATAACCAGATTTGCTTTTGTTTGTTATCAAAGGGATGCGTCACACTGTTAGCCACGCCAGGACTGAAGTCATCGACATAATATAGCCCCCCTCTCTTAGTACCACGACCAAGAATCTCCTTAATGTGAATATCTTGAAGCAAACAAAATCTCGGGTAAATCAGTACACAACAATTCAATTGTTCAGTAAGTTGACTAACAGACAACAATTTAGTGGATAAAGATGGAACAAGTAAAGTATTAGACAATGTGAGAGAGGATGAGAGTGCAACAGTGCCAGCCCCTGTCACAAGATAAGTAATGCCATTGGCATTTGCAATACAGGTTCGTCAAGGTTGTGTAGTATTCAGAAAATCATCAGGATCAAACGTCATATGATCAGTTGCACCAGAATCAATTATCCAACTCTTGGAATCAATCTTATCAGAAGTATGGAATCCATAACCAGTACCATTACTGGTTGTATTGCATTGTCCTCGATCTTTAAGAGTAGCCCACCAATCGGGATAGCCATGCAATTTAAAACAAGTCTCACGAGTGTGTCTTGGATCACCACAATATGCGCAATCTAGTCCATGTGTCGGGGTCGTTAGTCGAGAAGTCGTAATCTGTGCAGCGGAAGATGCATAGGATACAGGTTGAGTAGGAATTTGGATCGGGATCTGAGCCTGAGTCGGGGCTGGAGTCAGAGTCAAAATCGGGATCGAGGTCTGAATCATAGACAAATTCGGGGTTGTGGTCGTCATTGGAGTCGAGGTCGGGGTCGTCTTCGGAGTCGGGGTCGAGGTCGTCGTCGTCATAGTCGAGTTCGGGTCATCAAAATAGGATCCTGATTCAGGATCAAATTCGGGGCCAAAGTCTGCATCTGTAGGAGCTGAGCCATTTGGGCACTCAACTCGACTATGGTTGGTTGAGAAGGAGAGAAGGAGTCGGTAATGCCACCTCCATGAGGGTTGAAAAAATCATCAACCCCCATAGCGGCGGCGGGGGTTTGAAACTAGAGTCAGCAATTCCAAGATCGCCGCTCTGATACCATGCTAAACTATGAAAACTATGAGAGAATATTTGTTTGTGGGAATTTTCTATGTATTCTTCTCCTTGCAGGAGGTCATATTTATAATACAACAAAACCTGAATGGGCAAGTAAATAATAAATTTCTAAATCTATTTACAATAGGAAATCAAGAATTAAAGTAAATCAATTATAATTATAATAGGAATTCTTGGTGTGTAAGGAAAGTAAGTCAATATCCACAAGTCACGCCAACATTCTGCAGAAGTCATCATTAGAGTACATAATTGCCTGTCTTGTTAGATATGGTTTCCAATGTTATAACATGCAAGGTTTTGTGTCTATTCAGTATAATCAAATAAACGAGGTTATGGATATGAGATTAGATATTTAGTAGCGGTATTTAAGTTTTGGAGCACTAATATTAGCTATTGAGCATTTGTGTGGCAGCATTCATTATGGTATTTATGGGATACTACCTATTGCATGATACATGGTTTACATACACTGAAAGTTGAAGTGTTTTCTTTTTGGTAAAATGTTTACCTTCTTTAAGTCTTGCATTCCTATCTTTGGATGGACATATTGTTTTGTGCATGTTTAGTTACCCCGGTTTGATTGCCTGACCGTTTGTTGAATGATTGACTACAAAGACCTGCCGATTTTTGCTCTTCAAGATGACAGAGTTGTTGAAGTATGGGTGACGCAGTTGGTGTGCACAAAGCAATTGAACTGATTGCATCTCATCTTAGGAAGTTTCTAGTTGACTGCAGTATAATTCCAATATTTGAAATGCATGTAAGTCTGCCTTTTTCTCTCAAAGAAAATTTGTTAAAACTGCAGGTACAAGTTTGTATTCCATGTTGTATCTTTAGCATAGTGATTTATCTTGATTTAGAATGTAGGCAGTTTTTGTATTCCAGACTAATTTCTTATAATTCACAATTCAAGCTATTTCCAATGACAAAAATACCAAAATTTGAAATCTATCCACAATTATCAAAACATAATTTACAGTCTTCACACCGTATCTCCCTTTGCTCTATAATGAAATAGAAGAAAGCTTTAGAAATTGAATATGAGGATTAGAATCAAGAATACTCTCAAGTTGAAGGACTGTAATATAATGAAACATTTATTCTTGTTGCTCTCTTGCCATCTGTTAGATTGTTGCTCTCTTGCCATATATGCCTCTTATTTTTCATCTCTTTTTTATTGAGTGCTATCATTGTGTTCATTTTTGGCATATATTTAGGGGGAGAATTATTGTTCAATTACACAAGTATGCAGCTAGGTTTTGAAAGACAAGGAAGTCTTGTAAACCATTCCTCAAGATTTCTGTATCGTTATCAATTATATCACTTTCAAACTTGAAGTAAAAATTCACGAGACTCTTTTGACATCATTGGAATGTATATGACCAAATGAAGCCTAATAGACACGTAAACAAAGAGTAAGTATCATGTATTATGTTTATACGATTGAACCTAAGATTGTGTATGTTGTTCTTATAGGTAATGAATGGATCTTGGCTATGAAAGATGAGACTTTTGCACCTGTTGCACATTTGGAATTGGTGAGGTTATTGCTCGTTGTCACTTGTCAAACCAAATGGACATCAAAAATGTCTTCCTTAGTAGTGCCTTCAAGTAACCACACATGTTGAGCAACCTACAGTCACGACAAGATAAATCCCTTTAAATGCTTCATTGGTTAATCTCTATGTCATTATATGTTGGGATTGCAAATTGATTTTTCCTCTTATTTTTGCTATTATATATGCTCCTTTATGTTCTTTCCTTACCTTTTGGATTTCCTGACAAAAAGGGGGAGAGATGACTGTGTGAAATTGTTATAAAAAGGGGGAGAGATTGGGTTGTAGAATTAAGGGGGAGTGATGTTGTATTTTTGCATTGAATTATATTTCTTCTCCCACATGCTTCACTGGTTTTGTTGTTTCATTATGTGCAGGGATTCAGAGCTCCGAGTTTAGCGTAGGAGTTTATTTGTAAAATCTCATGCAATCTTCTGAGTTGTAATAGGTGTTTTGTCTGGGAAATGCCAAAGGGGAAGATTGTTAGTATGAAATTGTGTTGGCATTTCCTAGGATCTTATTATTGGTTTGGAAGTGTCATTTAGCTGTAGGGTTGAAGCAAAATTGTTGTCTCTTATCCATGATTAAAACAGCTCAGCAATCCCAGAATTCTAGAATTGAAATATTATTTTACTTATTCTTTCTTTCTCTTATCCATGATTTGTTACTTATCTTTTGAAGTAATTTACTTGCAATCAAGTTTTAATCAGATCACATTATTAAAGGTGTTGAGATATTCTTGGTAGTTGACCTAAGAATATTAGGACTCCTTTAATGGTGGGATTATCATAAATTTCCTTGGTTGGGTTTTTAGTTTCCTATTGTTTTGGGCTTCACGTGTGATCATCATTAGAATAGGAAAATATATTTTTGATTTTATTCAAATCGTTCAAATCAAGTAATTTGGCTTTCAACGTGTTTTCTTTCTTGTAAAGAAAAAGTCTATAAAATAAGACCTTTGTCTTCTTTGTTCCGTGAGCTTTTGACAATTATATTTCAGTCCATAAACATTGGAAAGCTGAGTTTTTATTTGAGATAAATCATCAAGTGTTCCATGTTTACTTGGTGATTTATCAAACACTTTTATCTTTCATTTGCATTCATTTGCATATTCGGTGACTCATACAGTTGAGGGCACCAAGACTGTTGTGGCGGTTTTTCTCCGGTGAGCTTGAATTGATCGTGACCAGTATTGCGTTCTACATAAGTAGTGTCGAAAGATGATCCTGTGACAGAATTTGAGTTACGAAGAAGTCGGTAAACATTATCTAGAATGTGTCTAGGATTAGTGTGACTACTTGTAATCATCGTTCTATACATTGTATCAATCCCTTTGGTTTTTTTTTTTTTTTTTTTTTTTTTTTTTTTATTATTACTATTATCTTGACTAAAAACGTAGACTTTACTCTTTTAGTGTTTTAAGCTATCCTATAGGTATTTTCAGCCATAACCATGAATGCGAGATACTCAGTCAAATCAGAATATTACTACCTCATGGAGCATAAAAAGTATCAGATTGTGATGAAGGCAAGCTCTTCCCAAGTGATTGATTCTAAAGTCTGGCTTCGCATTCGAAATTGCCAAATGCTCCATAAAAGCTCTTCCCGTGTTTCCTTCCCAGTTTTGAGGTCCTTTTCAGGCGCAAGCTTTGCCAGTCTCCTACTTACCCTTTTTCCATGAAACAACCTAAATCCATTGAGCATACAATCTTCCTTTGCTCTAGGGCTGCCAGAGTGTGGTTTGCCAGTTGTATTGCTTACAGACCTCTGCCTCAAACTTTCACTTCGTTGGATAGGTGGATTAATGATCTTTGTTTATGTGAGACTTTTAATTCGGAGGAGACAAATGATGGATTATGACTCATTTTGTCTTTAGCTAGCTGTTAAGATTTCTTGTTACTGTTTTTCACTATATATATTTGTCCCTAGTGATGTATTGTTGCTAGTTTTCTTGTTCCTGTTTTGTTTTTTCCTTCTTATTCTTTTTCTCCTTGTTGGTAGTCTACAAATCTTGTTTTTCATTTGAATTTATCTTCTTATAAATAATTATTCTTTGTTTGATGCAGATCTTATAGATAAATTTTTAGTATATCAGAGGACATAGGACAAGGGACAATCGACTAGTGATGAATCTTATGCTCTTTGTTTTTGGGAAACAATTGACATTTAGGTTCAACTTAAATACCTAGAATTTTAGTTTTGAGATTTGAGACATTTTGTGAATTTGTTGGAAGAATTTTAGATGTATGGATTGCTTTTGAAAAGATGTATGGATTGCTTTTGAGATCTATATCACTGTTTAAAAAGAAATTAGTTGTTATTTCATATTATAATTCAATAAAGAACAATGATAGGTAAACCTAATTAGTTACCAATCTTTTGAAAGACATCAATGACCAAGCAAGTAGGTCACTAATGTGAGCACGTGACACTCTTTTAGTGACCAAAATGAGTGTTTTGGTGTCCAAATTGTAGCCCTTCAGTGACCAAAGTTGTGGTCACTAATCGCACTTTTATTAGTGACCACACTAGCATAATCACTTGATAGGATTTTTAGTACCTGTGCAAATAGGGTTAAAATCACATAAAATACTTGCAAGAATATAAGGTTATTGTAGTATAGATGCTCATGCGAGGTCATTCTCCTCAAGGACTATTTAGCAATTTAAGTAAAAACAATTTCCAAATAACTACCTAAAATCAAAGGTTGAGAAAGATGTTAAGAAATTGGTTGATACTAAAAAGAAATTTTAAACAAAACCAAATATGATTGAAGGAAAAAGTTTTAAATACCAATTTATAAAAGCACTAGGGTTTCACCATCACCTAGCAATCCTATGAATTTTTACCAATTACTTATGATTCGCACATGCCACTTTGAAAGTTAGGTTTTCCTAATTTATATTCTACTTGGAACCTCCAACATAGAACGTATATCCAACATGCAACCCGTCTGGACATTCGAATCAAATCTGAACATGAAAGACTCATTAAGTTCTGTGAAAACCGGTTGAAAAACCATGCAACCTTTAAGACGTGGTGTTCATCTAAAGTGAAATTATAATTATTAATCAGAAGAAGCTAGCGTTAATTTCAGGGACCCTTCCGACCAAAATTGCATCCAATTACTTTTCTAAAGTTCCTAATGGTGATCAGGCATTAAGACAATTAGATAGTTTAAAACAGTGATTCACAATTCAAAGTAGGCATGCACTCAATCATAAGCAATTAAATAAAAATCACATATTCATGCTAAGGTTCAAGGCTTCACCCTAGCAAAAGATAATTAGTTACGCATATTCATAATTGAAATCCAAGAAAATATCATTCGGAAGAATAAGAATGAAAACACCTGAAAGTCGCAAAACCCAAAACCCTAGCAATTGCTCTCCACAATGTCACGTTCCAAAGTGAAAAAGAAGTCCCAAAATTTCTGTGAAAAGAAGCTTAAATATCTCCTAAAACCTAGCTGCCCAATCCCCACAAGAAAACTAAGTTAAAATAAAATAATACTATGAAATAAAGTCCAAATTGGATTAGGAGAATTTGCCCACAATCTGCACAGCCACGTTTTGGCCTCAAATCTCCTCCAAATCTGGCCCAAGATAGCTTGTTTTAAAGATAAAAATATTCTGAACACTTTTCCAGAAGGCCACGAACCCATCCGAGGTCATCTTGGGCTCCAAAAACGCAATAAATGCCTAAAACGTCACTATTCCAATACCGTGCACGGCTCATTTATATTATTTCCAGAAAATAACCGCGTGGTAGAAAAATCTGAAATTTTGACACAATTAAGCTAAGTGACTCACGAACGTCCTCCAACTGGAATTACTCCAAAATTCGTCCATTTGATTACGTTTTGCTCCAGAGGAAGTTGAAAGTCCTATATTGAAAATATAATTCAAAGTATCAAAATTCTTCCAAAATATTAACCAGAATGTACTAAGAATGGGGTTAAATATATAATATAAAATATACCCATCATCACTAATTCGTTATGTTGTACTGACCAAAACCTGAGAATGGTCACTAAATAGAATTTGTGACGAGCTTCTAGTGACCACCCAGTGACCACCAATATTTGGGCACTTTGCATTCAGTGACCAAAAAGGGTAGTTTCTGTGACCAAGTGGGTAGCCACTAATACCTATTTTTCTTGTAGTGACAGTATTATTCTTGGAACATGCAATTTTTTAACAAAAAATTAGAATTGAAATGAACTGGAAGTTTGTACCCTTTAACTATGTTATCAAGAAACTTTCTCGTGCTTGGAACATTACAGAATCTTTTTCCAAATCTTACCAACCGAGCAGGATTGAAAAAGTAATAGCCAATTGATTGGTGTCTTCAACTTTTTGGTAAAAGCCAAGCCTAGAGACTGGTGCATTTCTTTGGGTGTAGATTACTCCACATCTCACAACAGCTCATCCAATGGCCCACATAATTGGCGCATCCATGCACCTGGCGCATTGTACAATTTTCGTGGGGTTGAAAATACCAAAGTGTCTCTCAACTTCACTACCGGCCTTGATATTTTCATCAAACATGGCAAAAAGGTAAGTTTCTATAGCTTTTCCAGGCCTCTTCGGAGTCCCACTAGTACCTGTCACATGGTTGATCAAATTCTGGTAGAATGTTTGTGCATTTTGAGGGGTTGCAGCATAACCACCTTTGGATGGCCAGCCGCTCTCCGACACGACGATCTCCACGTTGGAAGCATTGGCTTTCTCAAGAGCCGAGTACTGAGCATCCAAAAGAGCATCAAACAGGTTATGGTACTTTACACCATCGGGCGTCGTGATCCCTTGTGAGGTGAATAAGGCATAGGCAAGTTCTATTTGAGCAGGATTTTCAGTGTAGCTGAAGTAAGGATACACATTGACAAGAAGAGGGGCCCCATTGCTGGCTAGGAAGTTGATAACTGGGGTTATGAATGACTTTGCAGCATCACTATATTTTCCAGCTGAAGGAGGGTAGGCATTGTCCACAAGGGTTGTGTAAATTGCTGTTGAGACTTTGATCTGGCCTTGCAGATTGGCTGCTACAATTGCATTATGAATGTTTTGGATGGCTGGGAGGAGATACTGGCTCTGGGGATCGGTGGGTTGTACTTCGTTCCCAACCGCGATGTATTTGAACTTGACGTCAGGGAAGGCTAGTACATTCTTTTGGATCCAATCTGTTGCAGCAGCAGCATTAGTGAGGCCTTGAAGCTTGTCGTTGAGGATGGTCACGGTGAGTTCTATGTTGGAACCTTTAAGGGCTTGATAGGTTGGATCATTGGGTTCATAAATTCTCATTCTTCCAATGCCATGGCTTTTGTACAAGTCAACGACTTCTGTTTCGGATGGTAAATTGTTGCCATTTCGTCCATAACAAACACCAACAGATTGTGCACCTGAAATACAAGCATCAAAGTTTCAGCTTGTGAAAGCATGTTTGGCAACAAGAGAAACAACTTGCTTAAAGAATGTTTAAAGGATGTACAATTTTAATTTCATACATGAAATGACCAAAGAAATTACATACAACTCCAATTGCTTCTAATTCAGAATTTGGCTAGAGAAGCAAGGGACATGTAACTCAAGTAGTTAAGAGTAGTCACCCTTGCATCCGAGGTCCTATGTTCGAATCTCCCTTCCCCAATATGACCTGTATATTTTAAAATAAAATAAAATTTGGATAGAGAAACCAGAAGTTTTCTGAATGGTATATATATGCTTTAATATATCATAATTTCAACTATATAATGAAACAGAACTACTTAATATAATCTACCTCAAACTCTTGTACTGTAAACATGATTGAAGAAATAACCTCACATCAATCTACTCACGTACGCTAGAAAACAGGTTTGATGAAAAAGCATAATATTTGCTTGATGCCATATATATATATATATATATATATATAAAAATTCAGAAGCAGAAAATGATACCTGTTATTTGCAGGGCAGGCATCAACAATACAAGTAGCAGCAATATGGAAGCCATAAGAGTTTTTTGAACTGTTCTAGCTTGTGTAGGGAAATCCATGAAGAAGAGGAAATTGTATAAATAACTCACTCTCTATACATATACACATCCCATATTCATATATGTATAGGCGGTAGAGTTTAGAGGAGGTCCCAAGCTATCTAGCAATTAAGCAATTACCCATTATCCCGTCAATCACTGCAGAAGTATTGACTAATAATGACAATGACTTGCTGTTGAAGAAAAAAATTATGATAACAAGAAGACCTGCCTGCCAGACACGTTTTGCAGAAAGAGTTCAAGTCAAATTGATCAACCAAATTGAAAATTAACAAGACTCGACAGACATGTAATGGAAAATGAGTTTCAAGCCATCCAAGTTCAAATTTCCCTTTTTTCTAGAGTAGATTAATAGCATGTGTACGCTCCCTTGCCAGTAAATTAACCTTTGATTAATATGAAATCCATCATATTGTATAAATATCTGTCATATTGATAAAAAAAAGGCTTTTGATGAGCATAGTTCACATGTGTGCCACGGTAGCAAATCAAACGGCATGGAATTACTTGATGTGGGAGTTAATGTGAAGGGCCATTCCTAACCAAAAAAAGAAAAGACTAAAGCTCATAATTTTGTAAACCTCGAAGATGTTTTGTGATAAAAACCTCTTTCGCATATAAAAATTTTCATCTTGTACCCATGGCCCCTTGTATACAGTCCTTGATATTGTCTGCATTTCCAAATTTCCTTATTGAAAAGTCATTGGGTTCATACTTCCTCTCCATCCAGTATAGTTGACTTATAGAAGAAGCATATGATCTAATGTTTGAAAGTCTGGAGCCTCTAGGATTTTAACACCTAGTAGACTAAGCTTGAGGGATTGGGTCCAGTTAATTCATTAGTCAATTGAAATAAGCGGCCCGTTTTCTCGCTACAAGTCCAAAAACTGACCCAGTCAAATTGTAATCTTTGATTGATTTTGAGCATATGGTCATGAAGTGGAATTGAACACAGAACAAAAATTGACTAGTCTATTAGCTATATACGCTTAAACTGGTCGCAGATGCAATTTAAAGAGATGTCATAGATACATGCACTAGCTACGAGTAAGATGACAAATGCAGTAGTCACATACACACTAAACCCTAAACCCTAAAATTTTGATGTCTGCCTTGGTGCTGGTAGTTTTGAGGCTAGATATGCTCGGTTGATTATGGTGTAAACAGTATATATATGGAGTTTACTTGGCATAACATATTTTGCAAGCATGTTTTGGGAAGGATATGTTTTGCGGAAGAAAGTCAAGTTGAATTATATTATATTATAATATGGGCTATGGATTTAAAATGGTTTCGAGTAATGATTTATATATATATATATATATATATGTAAAGAAGGATTTTACATCGTTTTTCTAAAACGGTGGGGTTAGTATGTTCGGATATAACTTATTTTAAAATTTTATTTTTATCCACTCACATTTTCTTTGTTTTGGGCCCCCTGGATATAGTTAGCTGAGATCTGCTACTCCACGTCAAGGCATCATAGGCATTCTTTCCGTCACCTTCTATCGTAGGATTTTCCTTGTTTCTTCCATTGCAACGTTCCCTTGAGTTGTAAATTAAATCTTTAGCTACTCTGAGTTGCTTGTTTTAAGTTTAGGTAGAGGGCCTAAGGTCCATTGTACCATCCTGTCTTGTGTGCCTTTACCTTACGCATGCTAAAAGTAGGGATTATTTTGTGCGTAATTGTAGATGTTTATAATTTGGGAAATGTTCCAATTACATGGGAGACTCTGCCGAATTGTCGGTAGAAGTCAAAATCTATTTTTGGCTATATAAAAAAAAGAGAAAATGGCATTTTAATAAAAATGAGTCCGACATCTGCCAGATGTGGGAAGAAAATAGAGTTCGTCACGGATTCCAAAGGAGAATTCGGGGCGGGTCCTGTCAAGCAGTGATCCATTACTTGCAAGGGTACACATTGGCCAGAAGTGCTAAACCACTTCTTCCCTTATTATAGCTACATGTAGCTAAACCCATATATGAAACATTATCGTTGTATGTAGCTATTTACCAAGACACTCTTCCAAGGTGCCAAGCACCTGCCGAAGCTCCCGATTGCCGAAGCTCTTGACTGCCGAACCTAATCTCCAAGACACGTGTCACCACCAGAGCGATTTGCACAAAGTCCCACATCAAAACTTTGTGCAAACCTCTCATTTTCACTTCCCTATAACTGGGGAACAGTACCCAAGTAAAAAGGGTAACTACTCTCTCACTTTTACTGTTACTCTGCCAATTTTACCACTCATAGCTGACTTAAGCATCGGAGAGCCTTCGACCGACACCACACCGGTGTCCAAAGCTTAACGATTGCTTCTCCTACTTCGTCTTCTGTAGGCTCTTCCCTTGCTGAAGGTTCTCACCTTCTCCCTTGCTGAAGACTATCCACTTCTCTCTAAGTTGACCTCCCAAAAAGGGCATCAACAGTTTGGCGTCGTCTGTGGGAACCGACTTTTGAATCTCATTTTTCTCTAGGAGCTTAGCTGGCTCCTTCTCCCATCAGGCCCCGTCGCCTCTTCTTCGCCCCACACTCTGCTATGCCGACCGAGGACATCCATGACACTCAGCAACATACCCCCCGCGGGGGTACCTTCGGAAGGAAACCTTCAACAAAAGCCAATCTCCAGGCAGAGGTAAATCTCTTCCGCGCCAGCGTCGCCAAGATGTCCGAGAAATACGAACATCTCCATACCAAAAATATCGAGCTGGAGCATGACTACCGCACGCTGAAGCATAACTGGGAGAGGACTCACCCCCAGGGCTCCCAACTTGACTTTACCTAGGATGCTGAGCATACCCAGCCAAATCAGCCGGTGCACTCCCGCCATAGTGCCCCAATCCAGTCTAGGCTCAGCAAGGGTAAAGGCCCCCTCCATCCGGAGGCGACCAAGTCACAGCTCCTTTACATCTCCCCACCAAAGGATCGGCCCTATGAACTAGTCAAGATCTATAGAGATTGCAGGGACCATCTCTTGGACAGTCAGCCAAACCCTATCCCTATTGCTGTTAATCTCAAACACCCAAAGGTGGCACACTTAGGGCCCCCATCAAAGCCAACCCATCTACCTGCTGGAGAAGGTGCAGGGGACTCGGATAACTGGGAACATTACCATCCAGACGACTGGGAATCGTATCACACCGAGGCGTTCGAAGAATGGGAACCTTACTCAACCCCTGTTCACCCACAGCCCAGGCCTTCAACACTCTACACACTCCCCTCATGCCGACCCGGCCATGAGGCTTCTCTGTGAAAAGGTTCGGCGTCAAGAAAGTGAGTAGCACCGCAGCCACCAGCCCTTCTGGGCGAAGCCACGACCTGGGCCCTTTACTGAGCGTATCCTCAATTACCACCAGGAGAAGAAAATCCAGCCATTCCGCATCGCCTTCTACACTGGCACGGAGGATCCTCTCACTCATATCCACTTCTTCCAGTCTACCCTTGGGTGCAAGGGCCTTAGTGACGAAGGCATGTGGCTCATCTTTCCTTCAACTCTTAGTGGTGCGGCCCTGAATTGGTTTTACAGGCTGAACCCCCACACCATCAACTCATTTGATAGTTTGAAGCAGACCTTCCTGGCTCATTTTATGATCCAGAGTTATCGCTTGTACTCTGCAGACGACTTGTACATGCTTCGGCAGGGTGATGATGAACCCCTTCGAGAGTATGCAGCCTGCTTCAGCGATGAGTACTCTCGTTGCCCAAAGATTGACAATCGGGCTACCTTCAGTGCTTTCAAGTAGGGGTGGGCACGGTCCGGTCCGGTCCGGTTTGCAGCTCACACCAAATCGGAACAGGTACTGTTCATCCGGTCCGGTCTAGTCTGATTTTTTAAGATAAATAGGAGAGAAACCGGATCAAGCCGAACTGGCTATTTTCGGTTTGAGCCGATTCTCTGGCAAGTCACATACACAGTAATAAAGAAAGAGGGAGATCAGCAGAGAATAAGGAAAAAATAAAAAATAAAAACTTAAATCTAATTAAGCAATTTTTACTTCTCTGAAACCCAAAAAAAATTGATCCAAAATATTTGATATTTGCTTTCATTCTCAGATCGCTTGGCAGCAAAATAACCCTAGACAATCCAATGCTTGGTAAACCAGAAATCATAAACGAAACCCAAAAAAAAATTACAAGACACCAGATCTAAGGAAATCGACCAAAAATAAAAAAAATGAATACAACACCAGATTTCTCATTGCATGAGACTCTGATGCTTGAATCTAGTCTTAGGATCTTCGTTACCAGCAAATGAAGAAGGCTCCATAGCAAGAACCCCTTTCATCCTCTTCATCAAATCAGAGAGAGAGAGAGAGAGAGAGCGAGAGTGAAGTTGCAGAGAAGGAAAAAAAAGAAAAAGGCATAGAGAAACAAAGAGTGAAGCCGTAGAGAAGAAGGAAAAAAAATAGGAACGGGGGGACAGAGAGAAGTTGCAGAGAAGAAGAAAAAAGAAGAAAAGAAAAGGGAAAAGGAAAAGAGGAGAGAGAAAGAAGTATCAGAGAAGAAGAAGAAAGAAGAAAAGAAAAGGGAAAGGAAAGGAAAGGGAAAGGAGGGGAGAGAAAGAGAGAAGTCGTAGAGAGAAGAATGAAGAAAAGAAAAGAAAAGGGGAAGGTGGAGAGAGAGAGAGAGAGAGAGAGAGAGAGAGAGAGAGGGATAAAAAGAAAAAGAAAGCTGAAAAGAAAGACTGAAAAGAATGACTGAAAGACACTAGGTTCGGGAAAAGGAAAAATAGAAGAGAGAGGTGAAGTAGGGTTATGGAATGGGCTTTGAAAATAAAAGGTATATGGGCTTTAAGTTTGGCTTTTTATTTGGGTTAAGGAGAATTGGGCTTAAGTATAGAATATTTTGAAATAAATAATTAATTAATTAATACAGCTGGTCCGGTTCGGTCCGGTCCGGTGCTATCTTGTGTAAAACCAGAATCGAAACTGGTTTGAACCGGTCCAGTCCTGTCCGGTCCGATTTTGTTGACTTTTTAGTCAACTCGATTTTTTCCGGTTTTTTTTTCATCCAGTTTGGTTCGGTTTTCCGGTTTATATGCCCACCCCTATTTTCAATAGTGGTCTCCGCAAGTCCAACTTCCGATACCGAGTCCACAACAACCCTTGGAACACATATGCGGAGCTAATCAAATAGGCAGCAGTTCACACCAAGGGTGAGTACTTCAATTCCAAGCGTAGCCCAGCCTTCTTCAGTACCCACCCCAGCCCCACCTCAACATCCTGCCCCCACACCAAGTACCTAGGGTGCCTAGCACCCGAAAAGGAAGGATAGCTACGAGCATACCTTCAGTAATAGCAAGGGTGGCAGACATGGCAACCACTACTAGCCTAGTGGAAGCAACCCTCCCAGGACAAGTGATCGGGCCCCACTCCCCTTCACACCCAAGTCTAGGTTCGAGGTCTTCACCACCTTGAACACTACCTATGAGAATGTCCTAATGCACGAAGCACCCATGATACCCAAGCCTCCCTCCAAGAGACTGTCAAACAAGCCTATGCCAAACACAAGTGTCTTCTGCCATTTTCATCAATTCAGTGGCCACGATACCAAATCTTGTGTTGCATTACACAACATCATTGAAGGACTTATTCATGAGGAGAAGCTGGATAAATATGTGCATAACCTCCCACCCTCACCTAACCCTCACCAAAGGCAGATCAACATGATCTCCACCATCAGCGGTAGTCCCACGTTGGCCGAAACCTCCAACAACTCCATCAAACACTATGTCCGTTCTTCCTATGCGTACCAGGTCTTCAGCACTAAGAAAGGACGCCTGCCTAAGATGCCAAAATTAGGCTGGGCCCCCATCACCTTCTATGAAGAGGAAGAATGTGGTGTCATTCTCCCACATGACGACCCACTCATTATCCGCGCAGACATTTCTAACTTTGATGTTGGACGTATTCTGGTATACACTAGCAGCTCGGTTAGTGTGATGTTTGTTGATGTTTTTAATGAGCTCCAAGTCCCTGCTCACTTGCTAGACTGAAGCATCACACCCCTTGTGAGCTTCTCTGGCGGTGTTGTCCAGCCCACTGGCAACATCCATCTTCCTATCTTTATTGGTTCAGCACCCCAATGGGCGAGAGTCACTACTCCCTTCCTTATCGTCGACTGCCCCACAGCTTACAATATCATCCTTGGGTGCCTAGCCTTGGCACAAATGGAGGTTTTCATTTCCGCACATATACTACTGCTGAAGTTCCCCACACCCATGGCACGAGCACGATGTGTGGCAACCAAATTGGCGCCTGAAGCTGCTATGCTTAAGCAGTCAAATCGACCAATCGCCAATATAGGGGTGAGGCCCTCGCAGTAACCAAGGCTCCAGCCCCTCCTCGAGCTGGCACTGAACAACCTGAAGACCCCATGGAGGAATTTGTCACCCAACAGGCCGAACCTACCTTAAGCTGGTTACTCTCCATGACGACATCCCAAATCGGCAGGTTCGGATCAAAACCTCCCTCTCACAAGAGCTTCGCTCTGATCTTGTCGCCTTCCTCCGTCTCAACTTTGAGGTTTTCGCCTGGTCTTACAATGACATGCCCGACATATCACCAGACATCATATCCTATCGACTAAACATTAATCCTGTCATCAGACCCGTTCGGCAGAAGTGTCGTGCTTATGACCCAGAGAGGTACGAGGCCATTAAGGCGGAGGTGGATAAGCTGAGCAGCATTGGATTCATCAAGGAGGTGGACTATCCCACCTGGCTAGCCAATGTGGTGATGGTACGTAAACCAAAGAAAGGGTGGTGCATGTATGTAGACTACATCGACCTTAATTGAGCTTGTCCAAAGAATAGCTCCCTTTTACCACGAATCGACCAGCTTGTTGACGTCATAGCTGGCCACGCCCTCCTTAGCTTCATGGATGCTTACTCGGGACACAACTAGATCTTTATGCATCCTGATGACCAAGCCCATGCATCCTTCATCACCGACCGTGGCCTCTATCAGCGTCTTGTGAACAGCATCTTTGCCCCATTGATTGGCAACACCATTGAGGTTTATGTCGATGACATGCTAGTCAAAAGTCGCATTGTTGATCAGCACATCTCTAACCTATCTGCCATGTTCACCATCCTAAAGCAGTATAAAATGAGGCGCAACCCCACGAAGTGTGCCTTTGGCGTAGCTTTGGGAAAATTCTTTGGCTACATGATCAGCCAGCGGGGTATTAAAGCTAACCCAGAAAAGATTCAGGCCATTTTAGACATGAAAATACCCAAGACGGTTAAGGACATCCGGAGCCTTACCGGACGCGTTGCAGCCTTGACCAGGTTTATCTCCAAGGTTATTGATCGCTGCGCCCCCTTCTTCAAGGCACTCAAGGGCAACAAGCGAAGTATTACCTGGACTGCAGAATGTGACAAGGCTTTCAGCAAACTCAAGGAGTATATGAGCCGGGCCCCTTTATTGTCAACTCCTGAGCTTGGGGACATCCTCATGATGTACCTCTCCGTCTCGACCACCGCAATTAGCTTAGTGCTCATCAGCCCCCACGAAGGTGCTGAACATCTGGTGCACTATGTTAGCAAGGGATTGCAAGATGCCGAGGTTTGGTACTAAGACATCGAGAAGTTGGACTTTGCTCTGGTAGTGTCAGCCAGACGCTTCAGACCATACTTCCAAGCTCACACCATCCATGTCCTAACCAACCAGCCACTAAGGCAGGTATTGCAAAAGCCAGAGACTTTTGGCAGTTTGGTTAAGTGGGCTATTGAGCTAGGTGAATTTGATCTCCACTACAAACCCCGCCCAGCTACAAATGGCCAGGCTGTTGCTGACTTCATCTCAGAATTCACAGAACCCCATGCTTTGGCCGTTCCACAAATTATAACCGAACCTACTCCTCCCTCGAGCCAGGACCACGTTGCCAGCAATGGCACCCTCGACCTGACCCAGCCCTTGTGAACCTTATATGTGGATGGCTCCTCCAATGCCCAGGGATGTGAAGCTGGCCTCGTTCTCATCTCCCCAGACAAAGTTGTCCTTGAGTACGCTCTCTGTTTCAAATTCCACGCCTCCAACAATGTTGCTGAGTATGAAGCGTTCTTAGCTGGCCTTCGGCTAGCCAAGGAGATGGGCCCTAAACAAATCCAAATATTCAGCGACTCCCAGCTCATTGTCCATCAAGTCAACCATCACTGCCAAGGACGTCTTTATGACAGCCTACCTCCAACATACCCGTCATCTGCTTACAACCTTGGAGCAAGGCATCGGTCGCAACATCCACATGGAGTTCTTGGATTAGCCCAGCACACAAGCACCTCTCATTTGTATGATTGATCACAGCCCTACATGGATGGACCCCATCATTCAGTTTTTGCAAAACCAGACATTGCCTGCTGATTCTGCTGAGGCACGGCATGTTCGTTATCACTCCGCTCGATACTTGATCATCAATGGTGCTTTATACAAGCACGGCTTCAGCCTCCCTTAACTTCAGTGTCTGACTCCAGAGGAAGATAGCTATGTTCTTAGGGAGATCCATGAGGGCATCTGCGGTAATCATTCAGGCGCTCGTTCACTAGCACATAAATCCATTCGACAGGGATACTTCTGGCCCTCAGTTCATACTGATGCCCTGGCCTTCACCTAGAAGTGCGATAAGTGTAAGTGATTTTCCAACATCCCACAACTTCCAACTGAACCATTGACAGCCATGGTCAGTCCTTGGTCATTCGCCCAATGAGGACTTGACCTCATTGGACCTATGCCTGAGGGCAAGGGACAGGTCAAGTATGCAGTCATAACTGTGGACTACGTCACCAAGTGGGCTGAAGCTGAAGCCTTAGCCACCATCACTGCAGCACGCATTGAAACGTTCTTTTGGCAGAATATTGTATGTCGCTTCGGTATCCCCGGCACAATCATCACAGACAACGGCCAGCAATTTGACAATGCCAAGTTCAAGCAATTTTGTTCCAACCTCAATATACATCTTTGCTTCACCTCCCCAACCTATCCTCAGTCCAATGGTTAGGTTGAAGTTGTGAACAAGATCATCAAGAAGACTCTGAAGACCAAGCTTGACAAAGCCAAAGGTTGCTGGCCAGAGCTACTTCCAGAGGTTCTCTGGTCCTACCACACCACATTTCGTACCTCAACAGGAGAAACACCGTTCTCTCTTTCCTTTGGTACCGAAGTCGTGGCACTAGTGGAGATCGGCCAACCTACATACCGAACCTCCACTTATGATGCCGAAGCCAATGACGAGCAGTTAGCCCTAAACCTCGACTTCATTGACGAGCTTCGTGACCAATCCAACATGCGCAACGTCGCGTACAAACAGCGCATCGCCAAGTACTATGACTTCGGAGTCAAACCCCGTGCTTTCAAGATTGGGGACTAGGTCATGCACAAGGTTTCCTTGGCCACCTAATCATTTAACGAGCAACAAAACAAATCAAATCAAAGAATCCGAATGCAAAATGAAGGAAGCTGCTCCAAAACTCTATGATCAGATATCCAACACTAAATATACTTAAGTTTTTCGTGATCATCACTATAATAAGAGAAACTTTCGTGTGTAATTATAAGACCCCATGGGAACGGGATGCAAAGCCAAGTCCACATTTGCAAGAAGATATTTGTAACTTGTGGCCAGGGGGATGGGATGCAAAGCCAATGGTTGAGTGGACATGGGAACGCACATTACCAAGTCAAGTCAATACCTACAAGTCAGTTGGACCACGCGTTGGAAGGCAAATCACCATATCAAGTCTCAGTCACAAGTCTTCGATCTCATCCATTAATTTCACCAATATTCATTGATTTATTACTTGTTTACTTGGACCACTAACAAATTTTTCTTCAATGATCTTTTTCCACATAGTGACATGAATAAGAGTCAGTTGTACGTTGTATGGTTTTTTTCTTCTTCGTTTTAGAAAATTTGGTATAGACTTTTGATGACATAAGTGAAATTGGACCTATATTTAAGATCTTCTTTTTGTAAATTATGCCACTCTAGACATAATGTACCTATTTATTTTATAGAAGTAATAACGTGCCTAATTTTTCATCACTAATGTACCTATTTATTTTATTGAACTAATAACGTTTCTATTTTTTTAATATAGAAATAATGTAATTATTTTCTCATAATTAATGTACCTTTTTTCTCTATAAATATTTATGAATTTATATATAGATAATTTACCTAGATTGAAAATTGCTCATCATCTTCAGAGTCTTGCCTCTATTCCGATTGAGAATTGCTCCTCAACCAATCCATGTGCACCACCCAAGCTCTCTTGCTTCAGTGGGATTTTTTTTTTTTTTTTTTTCTTTCTTTAGTTTTTTTTTTTTTTTTTTTTTTTTTTTTTTTTTTTTTTTTTTTAATTGTTTTAATTTGTGTTTTTTTTTTTTTTTTTTTTTTAATTATATATTATATAATTTAATGGTGAGTGACCACAATTTCCTTGGACCACAAGAGTCCAGAAGAACGGGACCAAGTAATTCATATACTAATCATTTAATGAGCAACTATACTAATCATTTAATGAGCAACAAAACAAATCAAAGAATTCGAATGCAAAATGAAGGAAGTTGTTTGTGCCTAATAAATCACGATCATAAACTGACTGAAGGGACTTCCTCTCAGCCCTAGCACCTACCATTTCGTTAGGCATTTCGCCTTCCTGAAAACAAAAGAAAAGCTGCAAAGGCAGAATCCTCTCGGCCTCGCGACTGCTGTATTATAGGCCAAAGCCGAAGGCCATAAAAGGCACGGTCGAAGATACTGTGGTTAAATCGCCACGTGGCCTCAAGGTCCCACGCCCCATTTAATGAAGTAATGCCTCTGACTATTGCAGCAAACCCACTAGTCGCAAGAAGCATTTAATGCACGAGGGAAGAAGGGAAGTGACTGAAGTCAGGATTTGGTGATAGAAATCAGAGTGGTTAGGCGCAAAAATTCTCACAAGTATTCTTACAACTTAAGGTCAGATCACCAACCACTAGACCAGGGCATTAAATGCGTTCCCACGGCCAAGGGGGAAGAACCCATGATCAGGGCGGAGGCCGAGATTTACCGAGATTTATGGGGGTCACACCACCATGCTTCACGATCCCAAATGCCGACTTGACTACCTACTTACCCTGATTAGGCTCCACCCCGCAGATCTTTTCAGCCTCAATTGTCCCTCCAGGACTCCCCTTATAAATACTAAGCTCAAGACTACATTCAAGGGGTTCAAACACCAAACCAAAAGCCTCCCACGGAGCAAATTATATTTTCCTTAATGCACTTTCAATACCTTTATTTGCTTTCCTAGGAGTAGTGGTAGATTGTAAGGAAAATTCATTCATCAATATATCATACGACCCTTGATTTTCAAGGTGCCAGAGCACCATCTCTGTTATCATCTCATTCACCCCATATATCATACGACCGTCGCTCTCTGAGAAACGCGCCGGAGCACCGCCTAAAACCCGCCACCGACACCACCACTAAACGTCCTTGTAGCTCAGGCCGTGAACCTGACGGCCGAGATCAGTTCCTCCCTAGGCCACAATCATTTGATTAGGAGTCGAACGCAAAACAGGCGCATCATTTAACCATCTTCTACCTAAACCTCATCACCATCTCGACGCACGGTAGACCGTGCTGGCACGCCCGTGCACAACCGCACCGCATCCAAAAGAATGACGTCACGTGTTAACGCACATCCCCTCGGCCCGAAGCACCAGGCCGTGAGATTTGTGCAGCCAACACTTTTGGCACGCTCGGTGGGACTCTTGTTAAAAACTCACGGTGGAAACTAGGGCACAGGCAAAGCTCAAAAACAAAACAGTCGAAATGACTTCCGAGGCTCCTGAGTCCACCTCACCAATCACTATCACCGAGACCGAACACGCGGTCAGAATCTCGGCCAGCGTTCCAATAACGACGGATCGTGTGGCCGAGTCCATGCAAGAGCAAGCAGTAGTTGAGGGTCTGATGGCTAAGCAGGCCTACATGATAGAGACATCCTTTATGGTCGCAATGGACAGATTCTCCTCAGAGCTATGGACGCTCTTTCAGGAGAGAATGCTGGTAACGGCGTCCGCGACGCCTCCCAGAGCCGGACAGAGAAGCCAAGAGCGCGAGAGGTTTAAGCCTTATAGCGAAAGCAGCAGCCTCGGCGCCTCTGGCCGCACCCAAGCGTCAGGCTATGGCCAGCATTCTCAGCCACCGACAAATAACTGGGGGCAATCCCAGCCAACATGGTTAAATCTCGGACCGACCTGCCCAGCAGAAACAGCGTAAGGCCCATTCCATGCTTTGGCCGTATCATTGGGGCAAAGCAGCCCTACGCATTCCGCGGTCTAGCAACTTGGCCCAGTTCACACCGTGGCCGTCCAGGCCCATCCTGGCCCAAACAACACTACCGCTGCTTCATCACAGCAGTACGGTCAGAGCAATCCGACCGTTTCACCGTTACAAGCGTCGTTATTTCCTTCAGGCTCCCACCTTCAATACGGTTCGACCATTCCAACAGCAACACATACGCACCCCGGTCAAACCTAAGGCACTTATCTAATGCCGCCCAACTCGGTCGCAACGACCGAGCCCCTTGTTCAAGTGGCCCAGCAGATAAAGCCGCAGAACGATGCGCAACAGGTCCAGCGGCCACTTCCAACCCAACTGGAGTCGCCCCCTCAGGATCCTCAGACCGAAGATGTCAGGCGCACGACCAAGGACGGCTTAGCCCAGAGGCAGCCGGGGGCACCAAGTTATACTGAGCCATACCCACTCGGAAAGCCTAGGACTTGGCACGACTTGCTCCCTAAGGCTTCTTGGGCACGCCGCACATCAAAACACTCGGCCATGGGCACATCTCCTTATGTCTTGACCTACGGCCATGACATTGATAAACTAATGGAGCTAGAGGTTCGATTTCTTCGAGTTTTCAAGCGACTTAGGCGAAAGACAAAGAACTACGCGCAAACCATGCCCCGGAGTTTAGAAAATTTAGAACGGTTGAGACTCGACGCTTACAATTCAGTGCGAGTTCAAGAAAAAATGGCACCGAGGGCCTACGACAAAAAAGTCAAAAAGAAAAATAGGGGGAAGTAGGCGAGTGAGCTAAACAAACGGTGCGGCCAATATAAAGCGAACAACATACATTCAATCATTCAGAGAAGAAGGCCCACGCTTTGTATTTAGATTAAGAGATCATTTTTTTTACAAAAGAAAAAAGAACGGCTTGTCATGGCCGATCAAAACAAAAAATATATGCGTATATTTGTATGTGTCTATGTGGAAAAAGAAGAAAATGTTTAATTATTACATCCCAAGATCTTTAAACGGCCGCCTACCTAACCCCCCCTCGCTGAACATCCCCCAGATTAGGCATGTTATCCTTCCCCAGGCAATGTCCCCACCACCTATATCCTCCTGCCACCTCGCCCGGATCAGCTTCCTCTCGGCCAGTGCCCTCTTTTTTTCGGTCGTCGCCTTGAGGATTTGCCTAGCCGAAGACTTCAGCTCGATTCCGACTGCGACCGCACCATCTCGGCGCTGAAGGATGACATCTCGACGGGCCTGGAGCTCGGCAATCTGAACCTCGACCTGCGCAAGTTCCTCATTCTCTCTTTGGACAACGAGGTCATTTTCCTTCAAACGGGCCATGGCAGGTTGGACTTGTTCTTTTATCACTGACAGCTCTTGCTCGAGCGAGCACGCCTCGGTCATCCTCATGTTTGCCTCAGCGTACCGACCGATCATCTCCTCGCCCTCGGCCAAACGAGCCTGTAGCTCATCCAGCTGAGCCAAGTCTAGCAGACCCAACGCCATGGCCGTATCCAGGCAGGACCTAAACTCCATGAATGCCTCGGCGGTGGTCATTTGGTGAACCCCAAAAAATAGGAACTCCCGGAGCCTTTCAACGACAGCCCTGGAATCCTTGTCGAAGGGAGCAGAGGCCGAGATGCCTCCTTCTTCGTGGAGGCTGACATATAACTCCTCGAGATCATCGGAGGAGGTGGTCTCTTGAAGATGGAAAAGGAGATTTAAATGGGAAACAACCAGCTGGGACATGAGGAATGACAAGGTGAAAATCTAAATACTCACTTCAGCGGCCGACGGCACGCCGAGAATTACTGCAACCACAAGCTCGGTCAAGACCGTCGAAGAGACAGGCGGCAGGCTCGGCACGTCAGTAGCTATAGCCACAACCACTGAAAGCTCAGTCACTACCGTCGAGTCCTGGGACAACGGTGATGGGGGCATGCTCACAACGACCGTGGATAGAGGCAGCGACGACCAGGGAGGCTGGAAGCAAAAAATTTGGTCAAAAGCAAGTGGCGCAATTCTAAAAATAAAACAAAGTATAGTGAAAGCAAACGCTTACCGAGCGGATCACAATGCTGCTTGAACGACGAGGAGCGGACGGCAACGACTCGACAGACGCTATAATGGCCAAGGTAGGGACGGCAGAGGCGGCCGAAGGGACTTCCACCAGGGCAGCCCGCGTCAGTTCCACGGCAAGGACCTCATCGTCTGGCATGTCAACGGCGGCCTCCTCAATGGCTGGCACCTCTGCAACTGCTGCCTCGGCATCCAGCATCTCTACCGCCTCGGCATCCAGCATCTCTGCCACCTCGGCGGCGGCCACCTCCTCGACCACTGCCTGGCCCTGAGGAAAGGACCAGATTATCAAAATGGATAAAGAGGGGGAAGGTGTGCCTTATAAAAAAAAAAAAAAAAAAAAAAAAAAAAAAAAAAAAAAAGGGTAAAAAAAGAAAAAAGAAAAAAGGAGGGAACAGAAGTACATACGGTCATGAGAGGGCTTCACTCACGATCACAGGAGGGACTTCTTCCTCGTCCTCGCCCTCCGAAAGAACAAGGAGGACCATTTTTCTCGGCCGCTCTAACACTGCCGTCTCAACCACAACACTTTCGGCCGGCGTGGCCTCAACCGCTACGGCCTCAATACTTAAGGCCTCTCGATCCCTCTTGCGACCCACGGCTACGTGTACAGAGAGGGAAGCAAAAGAGGTAAGAAGCAAAATAAACAAGGACAAAGGTGGCTCAGAGAGGACGACGGAAAAACATAAAGGAAAGAGGGCTTACCAACGACAGCGATCGGTCAAGCCGGCGGGGCGGATGGCACGGTCCTGTGCGGCAAAGTTTTTTGCGCCCACACCACAGCCGGCGCTCTGCAGGTTGGGGCCGTGTTTGAAGTCACGATCGCTGCTCTGGCCAAAGGAGGGGCCGCTACCCTGGGTACGGCCGCGGTTGGCGTACTCGGTCGAGAAAGTCCAGCCGAGGCCTTCTTCCCCTTGCCAGCCTTGGGAAGGATGAGGTCTCAATCTGCATTCTTCAAAGCCCTCCTCACGGCCTCTTCAACAGGCCGAATGAATCTGTCCGAGATGCACTCCTCGTACCAGACTCTTCCATCCTCATCATACGCATTACGACGCAACCAAGGCGTCAGAGTAAGAAAGGTAATCCCCTTTTGAAGTTGGAAGGATATGCTAGCCATGGGTTCTGCTGGGCGACGTCGGCCCTCCAAGACAAGAGCCGGTTGGTTGACAACGGGGGAAGCGGTGTCGTCTGGATCAGGCTGAATTGCCGTGCCACGAAGTTTGGCAGATAAACCTTGGCCCCAGCCTTGGACAGGCCGCAGTGAAGGTCGCGCGCGACCAGGAAGAAGCCCCAGATCGTTCTCCGTTTCGCCGTCAGGAATCACGGAGAGGTCGTGCGCCAGGAATAAAGGATACAGCCGAGCAAGGCACTCCCGGAACTGCGACCCGGTCCTCTCGACCAAGCCGTAGAAAAATTTGCAGAAGAAAGTCGAGGTGTTATGCTTCCTGGGAGCCCGGGCGAATGCGTTGGCCAACGGCTCGGTGTCGGCAATATTGACCGCCCCCCTCAACTCTGGGAAGTAAGCTTGCAGCTAGAACTGGAAGGCCCATAGTAGACCACTGTGCTTCGGCTTCATCCCATCTGTGACGATGTCGTGAAGCGTACTGTAGATATGACCAAGGAGGAATGGGCCGAGATGGGTGAACTCCAGGGTGACTTTGTTCGCCTGAGTGCAAAACACGAACTTGCATAGCCAGTACAGCAAGAACGCGGCATGCTTGACCTCGCCCAAGGGAGCGATGGAATCATCATTGGCGCTGTCCTCCACGCCAAAGTTGCTGTAGAAGCTAGAGTAGTTGAGCATGTTCTTCGCCTTACTCCCAGCAAGCTTGGCGACCGTAGGCCATGCGGCCTTAAAACTCCCTTCAGCCTCAGGGGAGACCAGAGCGGAGTTTACTTCCACACCAAGAGGGGAGAGGCCGAATAGGGCAGCCATGTCTAGAACGGTCGGCGTCATCATGCCAAACCGGAGGTTCATAGTATTTGTGGCCAACGACCAGAAGCATAGGGCCGCGGCCAAGAGCGATCGGTTCAGGACGAGCAGCCGATCGAACAGCTTGATCAAGTGGTAGATGCCTGATCCTTCCATTGCTGGCCGAAGAAGTGCTCCATCCTCGGTAGCCATTTTTCCCAGTCTAGGGTCGAGGTTGGCCATTGGGGCTGCGGCCTGGCTACATTCCAATCTTGGAAGTCCTCCCCGTCAAAGGCCGAGAGGTCCACCAGATTGTTCTTCAAATGAGCCACCAGCCTCTCTAGCATCCCGCCATCTACAGAGGGGCCGAGGACGTAGGAATCGGTGGCAGTGCCGTCATCATCAGTCTAGGGCGTGACGATGTTGGGTATGACCGAGCCTTGGATTTCTCGGCAAATGTCTTCAAACTCAGTCTGGAAGACTTGGGACCGAGCTTCAACAGATGTAAAGGTGCTGGAGGCCATTGAAACAGATTGAAGTAGGGTGTGTTAAAGGAAAAAGTCGAAGAAATGGTGATGAACACGAAGAACACCAGGGAGCCGAGCACTCAGGAAAAGGGCGAAGAGTTCGTGAGTTCTCTAAGAAATGCAGAAGAAACGACTAAAATCGTTGGTTACTAACGAGTGGATAACTGGGCAGAACGAGATGGAGTGCTGAGATTTGGAGTTTTAAAAGGGTTGATGGCTTGAGGAAATAGTTTGGCAGAGTTTGGGCATTTGAGGATTCTGAAAGCGTAAAGGAGAATGAAGAAGTTTGGGTTTTATATTAGCGCTAGAATTCGAAACGAAAGGGCATGGGTCTCTCAAGAGACGTAACGGTCTGACAGCATGTTCGAGTGCGCGATGACATGTCGGAAGCCCAGAAGCCGCGTCGTTTCATTTGACGAGACGAAACGATGGCTTGCGCAAGTCTGGGCAATGATGGCCTGCAAGACGTGCTTCCGCATTAAATGCGCCAACCGACCTACGCATTTAAGGCGCCAATTGTCAATCACTTCAGGAGGAATGCAAAGGGTCCATCCCTTGGAATCCATTCGGCCTCTGCCCAGACCGCGACTGAAGAATCCAAGGATGTGGGGGCAATATTTGTGCCTAATAAATCACGATCATAAACTGACTGAAGGGACTTCCTCTTGGCCCTAGCACCTACCGTTTCGTTAGGCATTTCGCCTTCCTGAAAACAAAAGAAAAGCTGCAAAGGCAGAATCCTCTCGGCCTCGCGACCGCAGTATTATAGGCCGTAAAAGGCACGGCCGAAGATACTGTGGTTAAATCGCCACGTAGCCTCAGGGTCCCACGCCCCATTTAATGAAGTAATGCCTCTGACTATCGCAGCAAACCCATTAGTCGCAAGAAGCATTTAATGCACGAGGGAAGAAGGGAAGTGACTAAAGTCAGGATTTGGTGATGGAAATCAGAGTGGTTAGGCGCAAAAATTCTCACAAGTATTCTTACAACTTAAGGTCAGACCACCAACCACTAGACCAGGGTATTAAATGCGTTCCCACGGCCAAGGGGGCAAAACCCACAATCAGGGTGGTGGCCGAGATTTATCGGGATTTATGGGGGTCACACCACCATGCTTCACGATCCCAATTGCCGACTTGACTACCTACTTGCCCCGATCAGGCTCCACCACGCAGATCTTTTCAGCCTCGATTGTCCCTCCAGGACTCCCCCTATAAATACTAAGCTCAAGACTACATTCAAGGGGTTCAAACACCAAACCAAAAGCCTCCCACATAGCAAATTATATTTTCCTGTAATGCACTTTCAATACCTTTATTTGCTTTCCTAGGAGTAGTGGTAGATTGTAAGGAAAATTCATTCATCAATATATCATACGACCCTTGATTTTCAAGGCGCCGGAGCACCATCTATGTTATCATCTCATTCACCCCATATATCATATGATCGTCGCTCTCTGAGCAACACGCTGGAGCACCGCCTAAAACCCGCCACCAACACCACCACTAAATGGCCTTGTAGCTCAGGCCGTGAACCTGACGGCCGAGATCAGTTCCTCTCTAGGCCACAATCGTTTGATTAGGAGTCGAACTCAAAACAAGCGCATCATTTAACCATCTTCTACTCAAACCTCATCACCATCTCGACGCACGGTAGACCGTACTGGCACGCCCGCGCACAACCGCACCGCATCCAAAAGAAGGACATCATGTGTTAACGCACCCCTCAGCCTGGAGCACCAGGACGTGAGATTTGCGCAGCCAACAGAAGCTGCTCTAAAACTCTATGATTGGATATCCAACACTAAATATACTTAAGTGTTTCGTGATCATCACTATAATAAGAGAAACTTTCGTGTGTAATTATAAGACCCCTTGTTTAATATAAATTATAGGGGCATTTCAAAATAGACTTGGTCAATAACCAAAGTGTTTTGAAAAACTCTCATATTATAGTTGTTGAATAAAAACCCAATATTCATTTATTAGTATCAATAAATATATAGGTATTATATTAATATTGGTATTATATTAATATTGGGTTGGGCAGAGATATTTCCATATGTTTCACTTAAGTCAAGTCCACATTTGCAAGAAGATATTTGTAACTTGTGCCCAGGAGGGATGGGATGCAAAGCCAATGGTTGAGTGGACATGGGAAGGCACCTTACCAAGTCAAGTCAAGTCAATACCTACAAGTCAGTTGGAGCACGCGTTGGAAGGCAAATCACCATATCAAGTCTCAGTCACAAGTCTTTGATCTCATCCATTAATTTCACCAATATTCATTGATTTCTTACCTGTTTGTTTGGACCACTAACAAAGTTTTCTTCAATGATCTTTTTCCACATAGTGACATGAATAAGAGTCGGTTGTACGTTGTATGGTTTTTTTCTTCTTGTTTTTAGAAAATTTGGTATAGACTTCTGATGACATAAGTGAAATTGGACCTATATTTAAGAGCTTCTTTTTGTAAATTATGCCACACCCTAGATTCTTATTTTTTGGTTGACCCACCCTCGACTCTTAAGTAGAAAAAATCTAAACTTCGTATAACATTAATGGTGTGTTTATTAATTAGGAATTGGAATTATCATCAGGAATTGAATTCCACCTATGGAGGATTCTTGCGTATACTTCAAGGAATTTAAAAGTAAGTGGAGCCATTAAAATACAACAAACTAAGGTAATTAATTCTTAGTTAAAAAAAAAATAGAATTATGGATAATTAATTTACCTATACAATCTCGGTAAATTCTTATACTTACAAAATATAGGTAAATTGGTACCCTTTTTTAATTTTATAAATAACGTGCCTAATTTTTCATCAATAATGTATCTATTTATTATATAGAACTATTAACGTTTCTATTTTTTTATGAGTAATGCTATTTGGACACACAACATTGACCACCTTAACTGACCACCTTATGTGGCAACTGATGTGTCATGCCATGTCAATTAATGAATGTTGCCATGTCAATTAAAAAACAAATTAAAAAACCATAGCATTCCTAGTGAGTGGCCTCATGGCAACATTCATTAATTGACATGGCATGACACATCAGTTGCCATATAAGGTGGTCAGTTAAGGTGGTCAATGTTGTGTGTCTAAATAGCATTACTCTTTTTTTATATAGAAATAATGTACTTATTTTCTCATAATTAATGTACCTTTTTTCTCTATAAATATTTATGTATTTTATATATAGATAATTTACCCTGATTGAGAATTGCTCATCATCTTCAGAATCTTGCCCCCATTCCAACAGAGAATTGCTCCTCAACCAATTCATATGCATCTCACCACGCAAGCTCTCTTGCTTCACTGGGACAGTTTTGTTTTGCTTTTTTTTTTTTTTTTTTTTTTTTTTTTTTTTTTTTTTTTTTTTTTAGTTTTTTTACTTTTATTTTTTTATTTAATTTTTTTTATATTATATATTATTTATTTTTAATGGTGAGTGACCACAATTTCCTTGGACCACAGGAGTCCAGAAGAATAAGACCAAGTAATTCATGTACTAATCATTTAACGAGCAACAAAACAAATCAAATCAAAGAATCCAAATGCAAAATGAAGGAAGCTGCTCCGAAACTATATGATAAGATATCCAACACTAAATATACTTAAGTGCTTCGTGATCATCACTATAATAAGAGAAACTTTGGTGTGTAATTATAAGACCCCATGTTTAATCTAAATTATAGGGGCATTTCAAAATAGATTTGGTCAATAACCAAAGTGTTTTGAAAAACTCTCGTATTATAGTTGTTGAATAAAAACCCAATATTCATTTATTAGTATCAATAAATATATAAGTATTATATTAATATTGGGTTGGGTAGAGATATTTCCATATGTTTCGCTTAAGTCAAGTCCACATTTGCAAGAAGATATTTGTAACTTGTGCCCAGGGGGATTGCAAAGCCAATGGTTGAGTGGACATGAGAAAGCACCTTACCAAGTCAAGTCAAGTCAATACCTGCAAGTCAGTTGGACCATGCGTTGGAAGGCAAATCATCATATCAAGTCTCAGTCACAAGTCTTCAATCTCATCCATTAATTTCACCAATATTCATTGATTTATTACTTGTTTACTTGGACCACTGACAAATTTTTCTTCAATGATCTTTTTCCACATAGTGATATGAATAAGAGTTGGTTGTACGTTGTATAGTTTTTTTCTTCTTGTTTTTAGAAAATTTGGTATAGACTTTTGATGACATAAGTGAAATTGGACCTATATTTAAGATCTTCTTTTTGTAAATTATGCCACTCTAGATTCTTATTTTTTGTTGGACCCACCCTTGACTCTTAAGTAGAAAAAACCTAAACTTCGTATAACATTAATGGTGTTGTTTACTAATTAGGAATTGGAATTATCATCATGAATTTAATTCCACCTATGAAGGATTCCTACGTTTACTTCAAGGAATTTAAAAGTAAGTGGGGCTCACACAAAATTAGGAATGGAATTTATTTCTTGGGTGAGAGGTAGTATTCTAATTCCTAGAGAACTAATCTATTAGGAATTCATCTTTTTTACCTATTATATCCTCACATAATTTTTAAAATTCCAAATTTGCCATATACTTTAACCCAAGAACGAGGACATTTTAGTAATTAGTACCACTCATACCCCAATTCCATATGGTTTAGTAAAAACTTTCAATAAGAATCTGGTAT